CTCAAATTGTGAAACAAAAGGCTTCAAGCACAAAGCCCTTGGGATTATAATTGAACTTGTTGTTGCGGTAGTCGTTGTCGTTGCTGTTGTCGTTGCTGTTGTCGTTGTTTTTATGTGTTATGCAACACATGTTTTGAGTGTTTTATCAAAGGTCAGAGCCCAGGCTACGGGTAAGGCCACACGTTGAGTGGCAACCTGTGGCCGAAACACCCAAAAATGTGTCCCAAAGATTAAGTGCGTTGCCAACTAACCAAAGTACACCACCACCTCCACCCCCAAAAGGGTATACAGAAGAGTTAGAGAAGGAGAGAGAGAGAGGAAGACGCAGAGATGTTGTGGCACTCTGGGAGCGGTGGTGTAGGTGAATGAGTTTTGTTTATGTTGCACTTTATGCTCGGGTAGGGGCTCTATAAACAAGTGTACCCGGAACCCCAAGTGCACTCTTGCCACAGGCCTGGGCGGCTGTGTGTTGTGTATATGTATATGCAAATTTTGTAGTCATATTTGCATGCCACTGCTCCTAAGACACACACACAAATACGTACAAACATAGGAAGGAGTATAGGCTTACATGCCTGAGTGTGTATGTGTATTGGGTGTGTTTATCCATAAAATTATGCTCTTTGCATATGCCCCTCTCCATCTGATTTATTTTCTTGGTGTTTGCTACATATACATACATACGCACGTATACCCATTCATTCAGAGGGTATTATTACTTACAGCAAAAGCTGGTATAAACCGTAGACAGCATTATCGACTTTTGCAGTCTGGTGGCAAGTTTTTGGTACAACAACTTTCGTGTTACTCAATAGAAACCTAACCCTAGGCGAATTTTCGTGCATATCTTATGACTATATAGTATACCTATGATAGTAAGGGTATCAAATGCATCGGCGGCACACCCAAAGCAATGCTGCACGCTCTTGTCTGGGTGGGCTTGTTGTTGTAGTCCTTGCAAACCCAAGCAAGCGGATAAACATTTGCCAAGGGGCCAAGGTATATTTATTCAAGGTTAGCCATGGCCTATTTCCGCTTCTGGGATATCTGGGAATGCATCACCTTTTTTTCTATTGCAGCGTGGCCAAGCTGTTGCCTGCCTCTCTCCTGCCCCCTCAAGCTTCTCTTTTCTATATACAATTTTCGCCCGCTACTTGTTTGTCTTGCTCTTTGGGCTCCTAACTGTATTTTTGGTAACATAATCCACACACCCATAACACAACCACACACATACACACACACATGCATGCAATTTTCAAGGGCCTTTTGATCAAGTTTTAATTAATTAAGCATACATCAAAAAAGTTTTCGGTTTTCGCTCCTTACGATTAATACAAAAATGTTTCATTTTAAGTGGCAAGATTGGCCAAAACATTGGGAAAGAGTTATCCAATTAATGTACAAACACATACGAGACTTACAGAAGAGAGTTAACATTCTATGGAGCGTAGAACATAATCTGTTTGATTAGCTTTAATTATAATTAATTTGGTTATCTTTTTAGAATTTACAAGATGTGAGCAAATTTTAGCGAAAATACATAAAATACATAATACTTAGCGAAACCTGAGGGGTTAGTTCGTTTCCTGCTTCTGCTTCGTTATCTCAAGTAAATAACAAAATAGACATTATAAAAGTATCTATATACTTAGTAGATTGATTCTCATTTTCTACGGAAGTACTGTTTTTTGTGGGCCATAATAATTAATGCAACATTAAAATTCCAAATAAGGGCTTAAACTTTGTCAATCAATATACGTTGCAACTTTTCGTACTCCACAAAAACCTGCACTTTATTAAAGTTCCCAAAACCATTTAGAAAATCCCCGAAAATATAAAATGCAACACTGTATTGACTGCCATGCTGTGTCCTTTGTCCTTTTTGCCTTCGATACTCGTTTTTATAAAACTCCCAAGCTTTATGGCCGAACCCAGAGACCAAATAAGCTCCCTCTAAGCTGAAAATGCTGATTTTTATAGCCTTTCGTCACATCATCAAGAGCCAGAGAGCAAAGGGGGAGGAGAGGGAGAGGGAGTGGAGGTTGAGTATGAAGAGGTTCAGGAGCAGAGACATTCCGTGTCTTGTCCATCAACAAAAGGGAGTGAGGGAAATGCATTTGAGGAGCCACTCTTAAGGGTCTCATAAAATGCATAAATTTTTAATAAATGCTGCAGAACAGAACACACACAAAAACACGAACATACGTGCACACTGGGGGAATGAGAAGGAGAAACAGAAACAGAAAGAAGAGCGAGAGACACGGAGGAAGATGAAAAAAATATGGTCAAGGGAGCGATGAGCAGATGATGATGGCTCCGTCACCTTGCCTTGGGTGTTGCTTGGGTCCTTTGGCACAGATGAGGCCACAGCTTCCTCTCTTGCTCTCTCTCACCACTCTGTACACTCTGTATCTGTCTCTCTCCCCAAACAGAACTTCGTCAGTGGCTTTCTGCGCCGTCTGTTGCCTGTCGTCGTCAATGGAACTGCAGACAATAGAAGTGCACCACGTGCGGTTTCCCCCCGCCCCTCCCACTTTTCTCTTTCTTTGCCCCTCTGAGGCAATCAGCTGCCTTGCGATTTGTGCCTCCATTGCGGTTTACCGATAACAGTTACACTTGCACCAGCAATAAACGCAGTGTAGGAAAACGCCAGCCACAGAGCAACAACAAAAAATAAATGTCGAACAACAATTCTGCAGTCAAGGATGGGGAGTCGGAGATTGCACTGGGTTTTACACCTGTCGACGGTTCGAAAGTTAAATCTCCAAGCAAACAAACGACAGCACACATGAGGGTGGATGGCAGTTAGGGGATACGGATTGTGGCTGCTGATGGAATAGTGGCTACCCCACACAACTCAATGGATGCGACAGGCCAATAATGGATACAATAGAGTCAAACCTAAAATGAATTGAATGGAATTGAATTGGGCTCCAACTGGTGGTGATAGGGTACAGTTCTATGACAGTAGACTGACTGTATGCTTTCTTTTATCTAGGGAAAGTCTACGAAAACTATTAAATTCAATATAAACAAACAATTTCATCGGAAACAGTGAAAGCTGCTTATGCGTTAAGGGATTTTTCGTTCTGCAAACGAGTTCATTTTTCTTCTTAAAAATTTATTTAAATATGGCAACCAGAAATGAAAAATTCGAAATAAATTGCAAGCCGCAGCTTGAATGGAATTTCATCCAATCAAATCCCTAGAGCCAATTTACTCCTCATATGTACTATTATATGTATGGGCCTCCCTTTGCTGCACTACTCCTCACACCTGATCACAAGTTAATTACACACATAACAACATCAAATACACCTCTAATTGATTGCACTACTGTAATCCACGATACAGAGAACATGGCAGGGCCTGCCTGCCACCAGGCGAATGCCTTGATCCCACTTTGATTGCTCGCTGCAGCTCAAATGTGGAGGCAATCTATGCGATGTATTGGGCTATTGGGTAGCCAATTAGCTGGAATTAAAGGGCGTGTTCCGTTTAAGTGATATGAGAGAAAGCTTTCAAGTTCCATTAGAAAGCTATTCAAATGGAAAAATACTTTGGAATATTTAAGCAAGTTAACGTGAAAAATTAGTACAAGAATCTCATGGCAACTTAAACATCAATAAACATTAATATAATAAATTAAAAACGTACAATCAACTTTGCAGCCCAAGACACGCGTCCCTATGGCAGCTTTTTTTTTATCAAATATATAACAAATAATAGTTCGACTATCAAATTTCTCTGTTAACCAAATAAAATGCATGCATTTCATAGCCTACCATTCCCTTAAAGTCCCACAATAAATGTAAAATTGCAGCTTACGTATCTCCCAATTAAAATTCAGAATTATGGCTTTGGAATTAACTAACTAATATAGATGGCAATTCCAATCGTTTTATGTTAGACATGCAACGTGGTTGGGGTTAATTCTGTGGTTTTGTGCTAATTCAAAAATAAGCATAGACTAAGAGGATTAACTCTTCTCCTGTCCTAGATAAGTACACATGCAGCCATGTATATACATGCATATACAGACAACAAAGATCAAAAGATGAACCTTCGTTATGCAGGATGCAGGAAAATAACCGAATTTCGATGAAGCAAATATATTTTCAGCAGATATTTGCGTAAATTGAGCCCCAGCTTTAACTTCATTTGCTTATTTATTTATTCAATGAAAGTTATTGTATCTACAAAGTTCTCCTGTTTGTTTGACCTGACAAATTGTGTGTAATTTGATTTCAATTTAAATGTTAATTTTACCCCCGAACCCACACCATACAGCCAACCGAGTTTTCATAAATCAACAACTTTTCCATTGCCTCGGACTGTGCGTGCAAATGAATTGGCCGTTTTTTTTTTCCTTAAAATAAATTGGGCAAACATATGATTTATGTAGAAATTCTGTCTACCTTCAAAATTGGTTGTTCTACAACTTGTCAGAAAAAAGTTAACGATTTTGGTGTAATTTTTCAGAAAGTCGGCAAAAGTTTTGCCGAAAAAGTTCTCCTCCAAGTGTCTGCTTGTGAAGTCAAAGTCTGGAGGGATTTTCTTTTCTTAATGGGGAACGTACTGCATGTACATATAATTTGTCAGTGTTAACTTTTAACGTGGGATTCAATAATTTGTTAACAAGTGCCAGTTTAAGCTGTTTGTTTGGAAGTTGAGAGAGCATTGATGCACTCTAATTGAGGTATAATTAAGATGGATGTGCAGCTACGAGTATTGGGAAAGACAGCTTCGCATTTGTACTAACTTGAGGCAGTCTTAAATTTCAATTCAATTTCAATTCCATTCTATTTTACATTTGTTAATTTGTTCGAAATTCTGCTTCCCTCCATATTAAATGAAAATTCTCCTCTCGGATGCCGAGTAGAAACAAAACTATTTTAATTAGCATCCAAAAAGTTATTATATTTTGCATAATTTTATACACAAACACAACGCACGCATAAAATATTTAATGGGATAATGAAATTTGTTTTTCAGGTAAACCAGATGATGGACATAACCGAAACAACAATCACCTGAAAAATATATTAACATTTAAACCACACACAACAAACGAGCGAGAACATGTTAAACTGGCTAATGATAATGGGGCTGCTGCAATGGGTCCGGGGGGAAGATGTTTCAACCGATTCAACCTACCCAAACACCACTAATTGGTACGGATCGAATGGGAGTCTCTACACCACAGAGCTGAGCCAGAGGTGGGACAGTGGCAGCTCCATGAACCGCCCAGAGGAACCACTTTATAGCACCGATCTGCCAACCTACGAGCATTGCATAGCCACCAGGAACTCCCTGGCGGATCTATTCACGGTGGTGCTGTATGGGCTGGTGTGCATTGTGGGGCTCTTTGGCAACACCCTCGTCATCTATGTGGTGCTGCGGTTCTCCAAGATGCAAACGGTGACCAATATCTATATCCTAAATCTGGCCATAGCGGATGAGTGCTTCCTGATTGGCATACCCTTCCTGCTCTACACAATGCGCATCTGCAGCTGGCGCTTCGGGGAGTTCATGTGCAAGGCGTATATGGTTAGCACCTCCATCACATCCTTCACCTCTTCGATCTTCCTGCTCATCATGTCGGCGGACAGGTACATAGCCGTCTGTCATCCGATATCCTCGCCCCGATATCGCACCCTGCACATAGCCAAGATCGTGTCGGCGGTGGCCTGGTCCACATCCGCAGTGCTGATGCTCCCAGTGATCCTTTATGCCAGCACAGTCGAGCAGGAGGATGGCATCAACTACTCGTGCAACATAATGTGGCCGGATGCGTATAAGAAACATTCGGGAACCACTTTTATACTGTACACATTTTTTCTGGGCTTCGCCACGCCGCTCTGTTTCATTCTCAGTTTCTACTATCTGGTCATACGGAAACTGAAGTCAGTGGGGCCCAAACAGGCGACCAAGTCCAAGGAGAAGCGGCGGGCCCATCGCAAGGTCACACGACTGGTGCTGACCGTCATCACGGTCTACATCTGCTGCTGGCTGCCACACTGGATGTCCCAGCTGGCCCTGATCAACTCCAACCCGGCTCAGCGCGATCTGTCCCGCCTAGAGATACTCATCTTCCTGCTCCTCGGCGCCCTGGTCTACTCCAATTCGGCCGTCAATCCCATACTCTACGCATTTCTCAGTGAGAACTTTCGGAAGAGCTTCTTTAAGGCATTCACCTGCATGACCCAGCAGGATATCAATGCCCAGCTACACCTGGAGCCGAGTGTGTTCACCAAGCAGGGCAGTCGTCGGCGGGGTGGCTCCAAGCGACTGCTGACCACCAATCCGCAGGTGCCGCAGCTGCTGCCCAACAATGCGGGAAACAATAATTCCTCAACCGCCACCTCCTCCACAACGACAGCGGAGAAGACGGCATCGACAGGGGCACAAAAATCGAGTACTTCCAATGGCAAATTAGCTACAGCTCCTACAGCCACCAAGGAACCGGAAAATCTGATCATTTGCCTGAGGGAGCAGCAGGGGGAGGCCTTCTGCACCATGGCCAGGAGGAGTTCCGGGGCGATGCAGCAAACGGATTTGTAACTAACTTTAAGATATAGTAACTACCTAATCGATGGCCGTGGGGAAAGGCATTTAATTCTGTGAGCTAATCTTTTCTACCCAACAAACAATCTAGTGAACTTTCCCGTGCAATACGTAATTTGAGTAGGGACTTTGCCAATATTAATGATTAACCACAATGTGTCCCAACTTGGATATCTATATGGAATCCTATCGAATTCTATACCACACAACGAACAATGGAAAGAAAATGGAACTGAAATATTTTAATGGGTGAAAGGGGAGAACAAAAAAAAAAAAAATATAATCAAATTCCTCTAATTTTTCATTCAATACTTCCCATATTTCATAATTACTTAAATTAATAATGGGGTATAAGTACATACATGGATAATGATTAAATGCCCTAAGATATTACCATGCAACAAAAATACAAAAAATAAAACAGTACTTAAAGCGAAAAAGGATTCCAAATGTAAACTTGGATCTTCTTAATTTATTTTCATTAACAAAAATGTGCTTAAAATACGTACTATAATTATTTTGTGTAAATGATATAAGAAAAGGAAATATATTTAATGTTTCCCGTACGATAGATAAATATGGTAAATTAGACTATAATATGAGTATTTCTTTTATATATTATTTTCAGCTACAAATTTAGATGCTGCCAGTGGTACTTCATCTATAAACTCCTCATTCCCAACTTTAATCATAAAGCAAAACATAAATTAATTTAAATCACAGAAAATCTATTCCATTTCTGACATTAAAATTTCATATTTAACCATTCGGGTAATTACAATGGGTTATGCAATTAAAAAAGAATAAGAAAGATTTTCATACCATAAGCAGCTTAGCAGCAGAGTCATCCAAAGTTAACCCAGGACTCTCATAAAATAGGAAAAAAAAAACTTTAAGAGCGCAAGCCAGACTCTCACTCACAGTCGCCCAGTGAATGGAACTATTAAGATTCCGGGAACCTTGTTTGGATTCCGCTTAAGTTTTAATTAAAAACTTGAGAGAAAGTTAAGAAGAAAAAAAAACAAACAAAAAAATGTGAATGCAGTTGTCATTGCCATCGATGAATGAATATGTATGTTTCTCTCTCGGACAAGTTTACCGAAAATAGAGGAAAATTAAAACATAATAAATTATTAAAAAGTTATTTGATTGTATGCTGATGTAAGTGGGGTTTCCCTTCCTGTTTCCTGATGCCTGGCAAGTGCATATAAATTAATTAAATTAGTTTACCAAGCATCGTTGGGCAGTACCAGCTCTTGGATGGAGCTATAGTTTAGGCTAAAAATATTTAATTTATGTATGTATAAATGTGCTTGAAAGTGCGTTAATAAATGGCATTTTACAAAATATTTATGAGTGCGGGAACTACACCGCCGGCTATTACATATATATTTTACTTCATTAAATTACTTCTCCATTTAAATTCCATCCACCTTAACAGATTTTAAAGATTGACATCAGCTTTCAGCCACCATTCATTTGTCAAACAACAAATTTCCCGGTCTTTGTAAGCCCCGGCAGTGCCGGGAACGAATTTTTCTCTGTTGCTATTGCTGATTTATATCGATACGATTCAAGTCAGGTTAAGAGCTTTTAAGCCAGCAACACTTTGGAGAACAACCTGCCAATATATTGTATGCTCTTTGCCGCTGCTGCACCGGCATTAAATCAAGTTTAGGAACTTGGCTTGCTGCCATCTTCCGGCCGGGCTGAGCTGTTGCTTACCCGGTGGCTTGCTTACTTGATTTTTACCCCCATTGATTTATGCGTTTCAGCGCCCCAGAATAAAGAGTTGGGCAAAATACTTTTACCTGCAGGCGCTAGGCTGCAGCGCGCGCTTGAAGGTGAAAAGTGAAAATGTTAACTCAAATATGGGTGAGAGGCAGGAGCTCCTTTGAAAGGTAAAAAAATAAAATAAATGGAAAAACTGAAAGCTGCAGAAGGCAGCTTGTTGGTCTGTATACCCTGAACGGGGGATTTGCGTAAGCCGGCAACTTTTTCGAGTGCAAATTTGTGAGAATTTCCCTTGATTTTTTTGTACTTATTTCCTCTCTCAGATTCAGATTCAGCTTCAGTATCATTATTACTCTTGACTTTTGAATGCCCTGGCACTTCTGGCTTTTGCATCTGCATCTCTTTGGCACTCTGCTGGGGGTTTCCATTTCCTACAAGGATTTATGTTGAATCTTGAAACTGATTTATGGGTAGAGTTGTGGCTATTGCTTGCTTCCACAATTTCTCTATCTGTCGACCGAAGCTTCGAGCCATATTAGTTGATTAGTGTGTGGAGTTTGAGTGGCCAACTGCCAGCTTGGTGGCTTGCCTGTCACTCACCTTTCTGTGGTCAATGGTTTAAGGAATTTCATTAGATCTGTGGTCATACTTGTGTCGAATGGAATTTGTGGTCTGCCCAGAGCTCATTTATGAGTGGATGAATCGATTTTCTGCTACTACCAGTCGAAAAAGGTAAAATGAAGCGAAGCAATCTTGGGCCCAGCAAAGATGTCAGTGTCAGGTCCTGAAAAGCCATCCCAAGGACAATAGTGAAGGACCCATTCAGCCCAACGTTGTTTTCATCAGCGTTAACAACACCGGTTGCTGGTCAAAAAACGATGGGACACAAGTATGGCTTGATAGCAATCTAGAACGTGGGTTATTAAAAATCGTGTCCTGGTTAGCCCAGTACAGGCACATTGGGAGCACAAAGAAAGAAGCGTAAAATACAAAACGTGACCCAGGACAGAGGCAAAGGCGACTTCCTCGAGGGTCTGTTGCATTTTCGGGTGGCCAACAGAGTGTTCTGTCTGCCTCGCTGGGCTGCCGCTTCCGGCCTCCTCCGAGTGCAACTTCAATTGGGAATCCCTGTGTGTGTGTGTGTGTGTCTGGCACTTAGAATTTCATTATAGCCGAGATTGGATTACGCTGTAAATGCATTTCGCTGTTCGCATCCCTGCACCTGACCTGGACCACTTAAGTGCAAATGCGTCCTCCTTGGCTTAAAGTCGAATGTCCCCGAAGTTGCTTGCTGCCTGAGAGTTCTGTTCTAAATGGTGTGTATATCCATGTGCACTGCATATCAAACACATTTTAAATCATTCTCTAACTAATGGGATTTTGGTATAAAGCTCCCCTTACGAGTACAGATTAAATTTCGATAGTATTCAGGTGGCCTTTGGCAACATAACAGCCCAAGGCTAAGAAGGCTCTAAGGATTTGGAAAGGGATGTCTACATCCCTCTTCCCTGCTATTTTTACAACATTTTACAATCAATTTATGAGTATTTCTTTGATTTATGTCAAATATATCCAAGATGCTTTCAAACTGCCATAAACACACACAACAAATACCTAGGTAGCCGCCACTGAAGTGCGAGTTGCACCTGCACCTCGATTGAAATCTTCAGCTTCAAATATCCCTGGGTCAGGCCCCTGGAATTCTTGCACTTGCAACCATTTTCAACCATTTTACTCCTCTTTCACCGACAATTACTCGCTGGAAAATAAATTCAATGTGAACTTTGGAAAGGGACTCGAAACAGCAGGAAAAAAAAACAACTACAAAGGCAAAAGTTCTTACAGCTTCATTTAATATCGACTGGGACACACACACACACATACATACATATACATATACGAAACAGATAGCAAAAAACGAGGAAAACTTTTTGCCCACCTCCTTACAGCAGGGGGGGGGGATATTTTTTTATTTTATTTTTTCGCCTGTTGTGAATTTTTATGAAATTTGTTCGCTTGTTGCCTTGCCTTTTGGCTGCTGCTTTCCATGCCAAAAGCGTGAAAATATTTACGCATTAAAGTCGAGAAAAGTAGAAGAAACAAATAGTACAAGAAGGGGGCATGGGAATGCGAATGGCATAACAATAAGCAAATTTGTTTTCTCTACTTAAACAAATAAAATGTCAAACAAACAGAGAAGAAACTTTAAGGGAAAATGAAAGAAGAACAAATAGATTCCGGTCTGCAGGCGGAAGTGCCTGCCAGACCGTCAAGCTATGAGCCGTTGTCCAGCACTGGTTGCAACGAAATGCAAATCTAAAATCCACCGATGATACGGGCCAAGAACTTTCAGTTGTTGCTTGTTTTGCAGTTGCTGCGGTTGCCATTTTCCAATACACATGACCATGGCGACCAAGGCGACGCCAACTAACGAAAACTTGAGTAATTGATATGTGTGGTTTCAACTTTCTAATGGAGCTCTCTCTCTCCCTCTGCCCCTCTCTCTATCACTCGCTCACTCTTCCTTCTCAGTGTTGGACAGTGTGGAAAAGTTTGCGGTTTCCGGTGCAAGCCATTCGGGCTGCCATTCGCTCCACGTGGCTCAAGATTGAAGCATCGACATAATGTACCCCACTAGATTGTAATTGGTTTTGCGGTGGACTGCAGCCTCTGCAACACGATTTGGCAATTACGAAAATTCAATTTAAATTAAATTAAAGATACTCTAGATATCAACTATTCAGAAACATGACGTTTTTAAAGTACACAGTTTATCTATAGAGAATTGCATAGATCCAAATGTATAAATAAATACGTATGTGTCTGCAATAAAGTGAAATGCAATTTGAATAATCTGTAGTGCAATCTACAGGACCTAGGACCTAATTTCCAAGAGAAATGGTTGGGAAGGAAATGCAAAAATTGCTTCCTATAACTTTCATATATTAAATAGTTTTACATTCAAGGTAGTTATTTATCCAAGAGAGTTTATACTCTGTATTAAGTTCTATTGTTATCATAAATGGATCTTTGTTCTCTTTTGATTTATCTTTTATCTTCATGAGCTCTTTTCTAATGTTTTAATTAAATCAGATATTTTATGTTCCCATTTCATATTTTTCCCAATAGATTTTGCACCATATCTCCCTCTATGAAAGCTCTCTTTAATCAAGCTCCACAAATTTGTATGACATTCTCTCACATGGAAAATGCACGCCATTGACGCCCCAAAAACATTTAAATGCCATTTCAATTACGCGTTGCAACCGTTTGCATGCCACACGCCGCACCCCGCAAAGCCCTCTCAATCCTCCTCACACGATGCTGCATTATTCAGAGGGCAGAAGCTCCTTCCCTTCTCTCTTTCGCTTCGTTAGTGCAACGTTTACGCACAAATTAACACGCTGGCAACTGGCAACTTTTTGCCATCCAGGACGACGACGAAATCACAAGCGACAAAGGTTTAAGGCAAACACATAAAGTGGGGGGAAAGGAGAAGAAAAATTAAAAAACATAAACAAAAATCATATAATTTAAATTTTAATGAGCAACATTCTGTGGCAGTTCCCGGTTCCTTGCAGCATAATTATTCCGAGAATGTTCGTTACATTAAAACTGCATTTCTATTATTTCTTGGAATGATACTAGAATTCCCCTTCAAGGCGGTTAAGTGTTAAATGAATTTGGCCAACATTTGTACATCACGTGGCACATGTGCAAGTGGTCCTGGAATGCATTTCCATTTACAATTTTGCATTAAAACGAGTACTAAGTGCATGCTGATGGCTGCTGATGGCTGCTGATGGCTGCTGAATAAGAAATAACGAGAAGGAATGGGCAGAAATGTGGAGACGGGAGTCGAGTCGAGTGCTGCTGCGTTCGGTTGTGGCTAAGTAGAGAGAGCCTATGCAAACACCCACCTCCATCACATCATTCACTATTTTTCATTTAGTACTTGATTTGACCAAAGAGTTCATTGACTTTTCGCCGGGTTTTGTTTTCCATTTGCCTTTTGTGTGGGCCTCTTCTGCTAAAGTTGCTTAACTGTTTTAAGGAACCTCCCACACATATGAAATGCCAAGCATTTATTCAAGCATTCAAGTTCAGGGCTCAGATTTTAATACACATATTTAAGATACTACCTTAAATCCAAATATGTGACACTCCGTAAATCTAACGAACAACAATCTAATTAAATCATAAGCCATTTTCTCGGAGCTAAACTTAATCAAAACCACAAACATTAACTACTACAAACCTACCATAAAAACCATTAAAGTTAAAAAAAGAAATTATAAATTCAATTAAAATCGTTTAAAACCTATCAGTTCCTCATAAAAGAATCTTTTGTTAAAATAGTTTAAAACCTTGCGTGCCCTAGAGGACTTTGTTAAACTTACAGCGGTCATAAGGCTTTTTTAAGTTAACCACAGCCCATAGGGCTTTGTTTAGTTTAAACCATGAAGTGCCTCAGAAGAGACTTTGTTAAAACGTTTAAAAACAGCAGGCCATAAGGACTTTTGTTAAAATAGTTTAAAACCTAGCAGTGCCTCATAAGAGGACTTTTGTTAAACGTTTACATGCAGGCCTCATAGAGAACTTTTTTTAAATCATTTAAAACCTAGCAGTGCCTCAGAAGAGAATCTTTTGTTAAAATCGTTGAAAACCAGCAGTGCCTCAGAAGAGAATCTTTTGTTAAAATCGTTTAAAACCTAGCAGTGCCTCATAAGAGGATCTTTTTTTAAAATCGTTTAAAAACATGCAGTGCCTCATAAGAGAATCTTTTGTTAAAATCGTTGAAAACCAGCAGTGCCTCAGAAGAGAATCTTTTGTTAAAATCGTTTAAAACCTAGCAGTGCCCCATAAGAGAATCTTTTTTTAAAATCGTTTAAAAACATGCAGTGCCTCATAAGAGAATCTTTTTTAAAATCATTTAAAACCTAGTAGTGCCTCCTAAGAGAATCTTTCGTTAAAATCGTTTAAAAACATGCACTGCCTCATAAAAGAATCTTTTTTTTAAATCGTTTAAAAACATGCAGTGCCTCATAAGAGAATCTTTTTTAAAATCATTTAAAACCTAGCAGTGCCTCCTTAGAGAATCTTTTGTTAAAATCGTTTAAAAACATGCAGTGCCCCATAAGAGAATCTTTTTTTAAAATCGTTTAAAAACATGCAGTGCCTCATAAGAGAATCTTTTTTAAAATCATTTAAAACCTAGCAGTGCCTCATAAGTGGATCTTTTGTTAAAATCGTTTAAAAACATGCAGTGCCTCACAAGAGAATCTTTTGTTAAAATCGTTTAAAAACATGCAGTGCCCCATAAGAGAATCTTTTGTTAAAATAGTTTATAACCTTGCAGTGCCTCATAAGAGGATCTTTTGTTAAAATCGTTTAAAACCTAGCAGTGCCTCCTAAGAGAATCTTTTTTTAAAATCGTTTAAAAACATGCAGTGCCTCATAAGAGAATCTTTTGTTAAAATAGTTTAAAACCTAGCAGTGCCTCATAAGAGGATCTTTTGTTAAAATCGTTTAAAAACATGCAGTGCCTCACAAGAGAATCTTTTGTTAAAATCGTTTAAAAACATGCAGTGCCTCATAAGAGAATCTTTTGTTAAAATAGTTAATAACCTTGTAGTGCCTCATAAGAGGATCTTTTGTTAAAATCGTTTAAAACCTAGCAGTGCCTCCTAAGAGAATCTTTTTTTAAAATCGTTTAAAAACATGCAGTGCCTCATAAGAGAATCTTTTGTTAAAATAGTTTAAAACCTAGCAGTGCCTCATAAGAGGATCTTTTGTTAAAATCGTTTAAAAACATGCAGTGCCTCACAAGAGAATCTTTTGTTAAAATCGTTTAAAAACATGCAGTGCCTCATAAGAGAATCTTTTGTTAAAATAGTTAATAACCTTGTAGTGCCTCATAAGAGGATCTTTTGTTAAAATCGTTTAAAACCTAGCAGTGCCTCATAAGAGAATCTTTTTTAAAATCATTTAAAACCTAGTAGTGCCTCCTAAGAGAATCTTTCGTTAAAATCGTTTAAAAACATGCACTGCCTCATAAAAGAATCTTTTTTTAAAATCGTTTAAAAACATGCAGTGCCTCATAAGAGAATATTTTTTTTAAATCGTTTAAAAACATGCAGTGCCTCATAAAAGAATCTTTTGTTAAAATCGTTTAAAACCTAGCAGTGCCTCAGAAGAGAATCATTTGTTAAAATCGTTTAAAACCTAGCAGTGCCTCAGAAGAGAATCTTTTGTTAAAATCGTTTAAAACCTAGCAGTGCCTCAGAAGAGAATCTTTTGTTAAAATCGTTTAAAACCTAGCAGTGCCTCCTAAGAAATCTTTTGTTAAAATCGTTTAAAAACATGCAGTGCCTCACAAGAGAATCTTTTGTTAAAATCGTTTAAAAACATGCAGTGCCTCATAAGAGAATCTTTTTTAAAATCATTTAAAACCTAGCAGTGCCTCCTTAGAGAATCTTTTGTTAAAATCGTTTAAAAACATGCAGTGCCCCATAAGAGAATCTTTTGTTAAAATCGTTTAAAACCTAGCAGTGAGTCATATAAGAATCTGATTATAAAACAGAAACCATAACCTATAAATGGAACTTTAGGAAAGGAATATATAAATATGGAATATAGAATGAAATCGTATGAATACATATAAGTAAAATTCGAAAAAAGTGGTAAAAGATAATATGTATATAAATATGGAAAACATAAATATAGAAAATAAATTTATAAATAAAATTCGAAAAAAACGGTATAAAGAGTAAAATAAACGCTCACCCCGTTCCATAATACATTATGTGTTGAATGGTATTTCCCTTGTCCATTTATTGCATTGCGCTATTGTTGTTGTTTTTTTTATTATTGTTTTAGTTTGAATATGTTTTAATGTTTCCTTTTGGATCGTTGCTGGTGTTTTTTAATGCTGTAGCGGTTAATATTATTTAGTTTATTTTTATTGCGATTTTTTGTTGTTAATGTTATTTTCACATACAAAAATTTAAGTGCGCGCGCACATTACAAACACAAGAAAACATTTCTGTTTGAGTGTAGGTTAGATCCGTTTCACATTTTATATTAATACATTTTCAATTTTTTTTTTATTTCAATTATTTTATTTTATTTAAATTATTTATTTTTATTTATTTCAATTTATTTAGTTTATAAATGCTATCTATTTTTATTGATTTTATTTTACTATTCATTGTTTCCAATTATTTATTTATTAATTTGAAATAATTTGAACTGCGCGTGTTTTAATGCGTGTTTTCAGATCGCCTTTGACTCCACTAGATTTTTATTTTATTTCAATTATTTATTTTTATTTATTTCAATTTATTTTGTTTATAAATTTTATTTATTTTTAATTTTTTTTTTTTTATTTTATTTGACTGTTCATTGTTTCCAATTATTTATTTCTTAATTTAAATTCATTTGAACTGTGTGTTTTCAGATCGCTTTTGACTCCACTGGACAAACGATTTAATAATTTCACGCGCGCTCACCGCACGAAACACGATTTAATATACTTAGTGCACGCTCACGACACGAACCCACACGATTTAGTTTACCGTTTAAATGACCGCTTTGAATGAGTGACCGGGGGGAACTGCAAGCTGTGATAAGAATGAAGCGGCGCAGACGGCTGAAGCTTCGTCGAAAAACGAGAGCGAAAGAGGGTGGTGAGGTGGGTGCAGCAGACATCGTATGCGAGTCAAATCTCGGCTTGCAGATCGGCATTCGTTTCTGCTGTTCTTGTCACTCACTATATCACTGCTAACATTGGGAGCGAAAGCTTTTGGCCAAATTATCTCTCAATGCATATGGGTAGGTGATCACAGAGAAAGAATGCTGCATTTCGCGCGCGCTCACGACTCGAAAAGACATGATGTAATTGACCGATTTAATGACCGTTTTGAATGAGAAACCGGGGGGAACTGCAAGCTGTCATAAGAATGAAGCGGCGCGGACGGCTGAAGCTTCGTCGAAAAACGAGAGCGAAAGAGGGTGGTGCGAGTATGCGCAGGTATGCGAGTCAAATCTCGGCTTGCAGATCGGCATTCGTTTCTGCTGTTCTTGTCACTCACTATATCACTGTTAACATCTCTGAGAGCATATGGGTAGGTGATCACAGAGAAAGAATGTTGCATTTGGCGCGCGCTCACGACACGAAGACACACGATTTAATTGACATTTAGTGACCGCTTCACTCTCTACTGTTAAATATTTCCAAGTGTCACCCCTGCTTACGTACAACTTATGAGAAGCGCAGAGAAAGGCGCTGTTAAAATACTGAAAAAATATTTATGTTATGTTAAGTATTCTGTAAATTTTTCACATTGTACATGAAATGTAAACATTAACATAAATGTTAATTAAATGTCAACCAACCACCCCTGCTTAGCTACAACTTATGAGAAGCGCATAGAAAGGCGCTGTTAAAACACTGGGAAAATGTTAATGTTATGTTAAGTATTCTGTAAATGTTTAACATTGTACATGAAATGTAAACATTAACATAAATGTTAATTAAATGTCAACCATAGAATGGCGCTGTTAAAATACTGAAAAAATGTTAATGTTATGTTTGGTATTCTGTAAATGTTTAACATTGTACATGAAATGTAAACATTAACATTAAATATTAAGTAAATGTCTACCATAGAATGGCGCTGCTAAAAAGTTTTTAGCCGTTTTTAGCAAAGTTTTCTGACCGTGTCAGAGCCCTGTCACTTCCACTTGTCTGGACCGAACATTCCGTCGGGCAAAGGCGTCATAGGCGACGACGACGACCACTGCAAACAAGCACGGAAACTCACGAATTCCTTTTAATTTATTCCGCAGCACCAAGCACTTTCAGGCAGCAGACAGCCGCAGCAAAGGGCCCTATAGAAAAGAAGTCTGCCACGTGCCAACAGGGCAAACAATGGGCGAGCAAGAGCGTACTGTATTGCATATGTGGAGGTGATCTCAGAGTAAGAATGTATGCCAAGGGCGCTCTCTCTCTCACAGTCGCTGCAAACTTAACATGCTGCTGTAACAACACGATAGAACTCGTTCTTTCTCTGTTAGGCCACTCTCGTTTTCTTTCGCTGTTAGCTCGCTGTTGAGTGCCTTTGTAACCGGCTGCGCAATCAACTTTCCACGACATCACGTGTTTTTCGATGAGGCCCGGTACAAATTACAAAAGACCTTTACCAACTGTAAACATGGCTGCTATGAAACTACCCACGTTGCCTTCTATATGGAACTGCAGTGGCCAGTAAAAGCTATTTTAACGAAGTTGACGCTGGTTAAACCCCGCCTGGCCTCATCCTCAAGCATGATCAGAGGATCCTCCTAAATTGGGGGCATTAGTCATTCATGAACAAGTACACGCCCAACGGTGGGGTCTTTCATCTTCCCGCCTGAGTCTCCTGTTCCTCCTGTTAAATACTCAATCATATATTAAATCATAAATCAAATTAAATCATGTATGATGATCTACTGGCAGAGCATATAACTTCTGGCCCTTTTGGCTTTCTCTAATGAAAATTGTAACTATGTATGTTATATTCACAAAATTCATCAAATTATTAAATATACACAGTGCAATTTAAAATCTCAGAAATTAAATTCCCAAAACAAATTTAGTGAAATCTCAAACAAATGAAATTCCAATCGACTGCCCCGCCATCTCTCCTCCATTCACTTTCAGCTTTCCTATACCTTAACTATATTCAGGGAATACAAAAATTTCATAATCCACATTTTTTTCTCTTCCAGCACACACACTCTCTCTCTCTCTCTCTCCGTCACTCTGTTTGTCTGTCCCTCTGTCTGTCTGTCCTCCTACCCCTCACACACACTTCTCTGTGTATAACTCCCCCAAAGCTTTTTGGCTTAAAATGTTAATTGGACGCTGAAATGTTAAATTAGTAAAAAGCAAAGCGGGACACTAACATAGGGAGGGAGGGAGTGAAGAAAAAATTCCAGAAAAATATGTGTGCCCCTCCTTATAGCATTTATGAAAAATGTCAGTTGGATGCCAGCCAACACGAGGAGCGAGTAGGGGGCTAAGGGAGGACTATTTCCGGGGCTGCTAGACCAAGGCGTAGAAATATGGTAGGAGGAGTTGGGAGTCCCAACAACCAGCAAAGGATGGATGACTTGGAACTCCTCCCCACCCCACATCCAACACTGCCATAGCACAGCACTCATTTTATTATGCATAAATTATGAAATTACGAAAAACAAATAAATAAAAGTAAAACGTCAACCGTTTTTATGCCGTGTTGGCAGCTCTGGTCTGGCACGAGCCTGTGTACGGGCCATGTATTTCATGTGGGAGCTGTGGGACAGCCGGCGCAGCCCGGAAACAGAAAGAATTATTAAGCCATTTACGTACCTTTGCTTTCATTTGCTGCATTTTGCAACTGCGATTTTGAGTGATGTGTTGGCCCGGGGGGCGTGGGCTGTGCATTTTCGCTGATTGTGGAGTGGAGCACTGAGCCTGGCTTAATCACCTGTCAGCCAGTTACGAGCGCAGTAACGCCGGGTGTATAATCATCTGTTGACTTACGACCCAGTAAGCTGGCCATGTCAAGAGTAATTTAATTGATGCCGAATGGATTGCGAATAGGCCATAGCCAGTGGCACTTTTCAGCCTGGGGCTATTCAGTGTCACCTTAAAGTACATAGGTATTGCCATTGAATGCTTAGTTAAGGGTAGACTAATGCTAACACTGCACTCTCTGAACTAAAGAGAATTCAATTTATGACCTGATGCCCAAATTCAAAATCTTTAAAGTTGTCGTAAAAGGTGGGCAACATCACATCAAAGTGAATTAAGTTCAAACAATTTCAATTTCATGTATCTGGTGAACTGCTCACCGTGCAAATCGTAAATGAATTTAACGATTGATCGAATTTTCCCATTTAATGAGAGAATAAAATACATATACAAAAAGGCAAGAGAGAAAAAAAAAAGCTAGAAGGTATTAATGAAGGAGCCAGGAGAAAGGAAACCAGGTCTTCGAGGGATTGGGGGATTTATTAAGAAATGCATTGAGCTAAAAGCTCTTCGAGGCTGTCGGCAGCAGGATGCTGAAGCTTGTCCTGCACAAACAGTTAAGCAAATGAAAAGGAACTCAGAGGATAAAGTAATCAACGATTTTTCTTGAGAAAGCTAAATGACTGATTTACAATGAGCCCGGAAATGATAAAAACTAAAAAGACAAGGAGTGGACTAGTGAATATTTTCTCTTTGGGAGCAAAAGATGTAAATTATTTCTGCGAAATAAGCAGGAAATAGTTCATAGTTTGGAAATATTTCTATGAAAATGTAGGAGCTGAACCAAATTAATCAACCGTAATCCATCAAATTATGGAATAATTAATATAGTGTAAAGACCCGAAATTATTTTAAATTGAATTAAAGATTTAGAGGTATATTATAATCATATTACAGGGCTCAATCTACAATTTCTCCCCAATTTGCTGAACGCTATGGCAACGAAACAGCTGGGCTGATAAATAATTGAATAGCCAAACAACAGTGTCGACAACTGAATAATCTCAACAGCCAACGGAGCGGACAAACAACAGTCGGACAGTTGGTCCGAAACTCATGCGAAATGCAATTAAATGCAATAAATTGAATAGAAATAACCCTTTGTTCGAATACCATATTCCAGAGCCCCCCAAACGCTGCATAATTAATTAGCCAAGCATGTGGCGTAGCAGAGGAACAAGGTCATCAAGTGTGGGACCCATTCGCTTGCCTACAAAGATTGAAAATTATGCAGAAAATAAGATAAGACCATAAGCCATTGCTAAAGAGGTTTCGATAGTTGGTGACTGAATAGTTGATACCCCAAAAGAGATTAATTCTAATTTAAATGTTTAAGTTCCAAAATCTCAGTAAAGGGGCTGAGCATTTTTTAATAACAGTCTTATACTTCATGCCAAGACCCATCCCACTGTTAAAGGCTGATGTCTGATGTGTATGCGTATAAGACATGAAGATTGTTTCATTGATTTCTGATCCTTGTGCAGAATTTTCCCCATGCCCGTGCAACCCTCTGTGTACCGTGTCTGAGCAGCAACGCATTTTGCTTACAAGGCTCTCGCCTGTGCTAAGGAGTTCTGAATAGAATTTTCGCTAGCAAAAGTGGCTCATTGGTGGCTTACATCATCTAATGACATCCATCAGGCAGTCAACCAGCAGCTGTTCAACAAGACTAGCGACTAGCGACGATGTCGTCGACAAGTGACTCAATATTTGACTGACAGCAAACTAAATTCTAAAGCATTTTAATTGCTGTCTCGGTGCCCCCGTGGGGGCTTGCTGGCTTTAGTTCGTAGCATACAAAATAAAATGGGTGAGTGGCTTGGGTTTGGCGTTGAGGTTGAGGTTGAGGAGGATGTTGAAAGGGCATAAATATGTTGACCTTGCACCCAGTCAGTTAGAAAGCGAAAGGGGCTTTCCTTTGAAAGGCAAATTTGCATAATTTGCATACAGCAGCAGCAGCAGCAGCAGCAGCAGCAGGCCACGAGGCGGGGGCGAGCGAGGAAGATGCAATTGCACTCAAACCGAGCATAGAATTTAGTTGTTAGGAAAACTTACTGACAAATTGTGGCGCAGGCTAACGGGGGAAACGTCAACACCTTAAATCCAAGACCAGACCAGACCAGACCAGCAGAGCACCACAGTCTGTGAGGCGTCTGTGCCATTAAGGAGGAGAACGAGGCCAACACCAACGCCAACGACGACGACGATGATGACGGTGAATGTTGACGACTTTTGCCATTGAGACGGCCAAAGTTTTTTATGGCAATTTTCGCCAGAGCCACAGCCACAGCCAGACACTTGAAGTGGTTGTCCTTGTTGTAGTTTTTGTTGCTGTTGTTGTTGTTGTTGTTAGTTGCATGAATATGAAAATTGTAGCATAAATTGCAAACCGAGTTACAAGTTCCTTTCACCCGCACTTTTCCGCATAGGCCTGGGCCTGGGTCTGGGCCTGGAAATAAAGTGGAAAAGTTTTTTGTTCAAAAATAATATTTAAAAAAAAAAGCCAAGAAAAAGAAAAAGAAGCTTCTTTAACTTACGGGTAAACTGCATCTTAAGTCGTAGCAAATTACATTTGCAAAACATATCAAGAAACGCTTCGCCTGCAAGTTGACCAAGGGTTTTTGGTTGAAGTTTTCAGTTTGAGAAACTTTCAGTTTCGGTTTCGTTTCCAGTAAATTAAATTCATAGCAATTATGACACTTGAGTTTCCACTTTAGATTCAGGCAATTAGCATTCATTCGAATCGGATGCTTTCTCCATTGCAAATTACGCAGGAAAACAAACTATCAAAAGCTCCGGTCACAAGTCCAAAGTAATCTGACAAAAAAGGGGAGAGGAATACAAAAAAAATAGAACTAAAATACACACACAAAATGTCAACACTCTGAGATGTCGGCGGTGCACATACCGATTGCGCACAGATTTAATACAGCTCAATTTTATGGGATTTACCAGACTGAACTTACCCCTCAAACAGAGCCCGGACAGGTGCTCCGTTGGGAGCAGCTTCCATTAGACGAGACCCTTTTGCTGAGCTTTTAAGCAGCATGCCTCAGGCGGTGCAAGGGGACCGTAGCGTTTCACAATTTTATGACAAGCTACGGACTGGCCAAAAGGTGTGACTCGGTCGATAGATAGTCGCTACCACTGACAGATAGTCCTATCCCTGGCTGAACACTCATTCATCTCTCCTTTGGGCTTGTGTGCTCTCGCTTGATTGCTTCGCTTGGCTTTACGGGACGTTTGACATTCGGTTCCACTCTGGAATAGCAAAGAACATTTTTACAGTTGGATTTTGAGTGCAAATGTTGATGGGTGCGGCAATGGTATGCCCTTAGGAATAGGGTATTAAACAGGTATCTGTTTTAGTTCCCAATTTAATCGGCAACGTTGCGGCAGTCTGCAGCCTGTTTCGCATTTTCACTGGCAATCTTTTAGCGCCGAATCTGCTTTGGGGTCCACTGTAATTTGATTGGCGTTGGCATAGGACTCGTATGTTCGATTGCCACCAGCACCAGCCCTCTCCATGCATCCGAGTTAATTAAGTTTTGGTCCCCTCTGCCAGGGCAGAGGGCAACTATTACAAAGAGAATTCCCTTCTGAAATCTTCTGGAAAGTATTCCCATTATTCTATTCACATTCTGCAATATCCCTCGAAAGAAGCCCACGCCAGATGAATGGACATGCGAACTGGCAACTTGTTTAAATAATTATTGTCCGCTTTAAGCACCTTCTAATTGGCGTTGTTAATTTTCGAGCATATTTCACTCGAAGTCAAGCTTTAAATTGCATCGAGAAAAGCCCTGAAGGGAAGAGGAAGTGGCAGAGCAAACCAAAACCTAAACCAGAGCAGGGCAGGACAGGACAGGGCACACCGAAAAGGCAGACAATGAAGCGTGAAAAAGGAAACGGAAATTAAGTGACTGCACTGCAAGCGACTCTCGAGACCGAAGGAGAATGACCAGAGCTCCAGCTTCAGCGCCATTGTCGCATCACTTGCCACGCGGTGGCGGCCATTGTCCACTTCGTTTGCATGGTGTCAAGGGCTTGAGGAGGCGGATGATGGCGGTTTTCTCTATACCATCCACTCCATGGCTCTGCTCTCCGTTCGACCAGTGCTGGTGCAGCCAGGGCGTCGCTGGTTTATTTTTCATTCGTCTGATCTTTTTGTCTTCTCCTGTCACTTGGTGGTGGGTAGTGGCGACAGTCCTTGTGCTCGATGTGCTGTGGCTTTAATGGCTCAATCCTAGAATTAAGGTGGCAAGGTTCAACTTAAAGGAGAGACAGGTATGATCTACCACAGGGGCTAGCAGCTGCTGGTATCTGGAAATCATAAAAGCCACCACAATAAATCGATCACAGATTAGGCATAGAAATTCCAAACACCAGATGTTAGCTGTGGGCCAACGGGGCTTTAGGTACATACCTGTGACACAGGTAAAGGCATCGACTACCTGTTACCCTGTGGGTCAGACATATATAAAACCAACAGCACTCGAAGCAGAGCACATCAGTAAGCAACTGAATCTTGTCCTAGACACAGTACATCATTAGAAGCTGTTTTCCGTTTTTGCACTAGTTTCAAAAAATTTCCATATTCAAAATGCCATTCGACATCGTGTACGACGACGAGCCCATTTCGAGCTTTGTGTTCACCAATGAGGACACAACACAAACATTCCACCACCGCTGGTATGCCCAGGGCCAGATGCACGAGTGTGCCACCTGCTACAGTTGCATAGACGCCGATGAGCCGCCTAGCCAGCACTGGGTACGCGGCGGCGAAAACTCGCAGGGCCTGAAGCTGAGCAAGCAACAGCAGGCCGTTCTGGACATAATCGAGGCGCGCCAGATAGAGACCTTCTTCTTGTGCGATGAGAGCGCCAAGGATAAGCTGGATCACTTCATGGGCGAGACGTGTGCCCGCGGTGTGCCCGAACTGCTGCGCTGGATGTTCCACAATGGCACCTTCAGCGTGGAGTTCAATCTGGCCTGCTACGTGAACGTGATGAACCAGGTGCTGATCTTCCAGAGCGGCAACCTCAGGGTGGACCATCACTATGACATTGAAGAGTGTGTCAGTGTGGTGTACGAGATGCTTATGCAGCGGATCGAGAATTATCTGAGCTGCAGCAGCGAGTATGGGCTGGATGAGTGCAGCATTACCAGAATACGGGTGCAGGTGAAGAGACAGCGACAGGATGTCGATTCCCCAGCCATGGAGTCCTCGTTTGCCCTGCCCCTACAGCTGAGGCAGGAAGAAGAGTGCAGTGCTAGTGCCAGCTCCAGTTCCAGCACCAGCGAAGCCGAATTGACCAGCCTGAAGGCCGCTTACCTGAAGCACTACCGGGAATGCCTCGGCTACTTTCCGCCCAACATGCGCGTCAATCTGCACGGCCTGCAGCAGTGCAAGACCACCAAGGAGCTCTATGTGGTGCCGTACCACATCAGCGAGACGCTGCAGCAGCTGCCCAATAAGAACTTCCTCATTCTGAACAACATCATGGGACAGTTCCAGCGTCTGCACGAGCTGCCCACTCCCATTATGGGCTCCGCATCAGCGTCATCAGCGCCATCAACGTCATCGCCTACTTCGCCCACACGTCCGCTGCAGTGTCGTCGGTGCCGCACTCATTTTACGCGTCGCAGCAAGTTGCACATTCACCAGCAGCTGCACTGTGGCCAGGACTTCTCCGTCGACAGCATGCATGCCGATATTGTTGAGATTTACGAGCAGTGTCTGCCCATTTCTCGCAATGTCTTTCAATACGCCTGCTATGGCATCACCAAGCCCAAGACAGTGATGCGCAAGGGCCAGTTTGTGCCCATCGAGTGCGACTGGCGCAGCGAGAGTTCGGTGAAGGTGCAGCACGGACCGTGCGTGGTCATCAGCAATGCTCAGCATAGCAGTCCTTGTAAATATTATTGAATAAATCGTATAACTTAAGGCACAATTCGGTGGGTTTTTCTTGGTACCGACTTGGGCATCGCCAAAGACTGGCGATGATGAATAAACGAAGCAGCGATGAGATTCTTATGGAAAAGCAGCCTTACTCGAAAATGAACTCAGAAATTATAAATAAAAAATACCTTTTCGAGTCTAAACGAAATACGATTGTTATAGTATCTTATCTAGGTATATAGTGGCTCTTAGATCCACTTATCTGAACTAGGGATCATTCGAGCTATGCGAAGGGATGAAGGAAAGGCCATCGACAATCATTTACAATTAATTTGCAGTACGCTCCTCCTCTCAATGGAGTAGCCAAAAAAGAGAACAACCCCACAGCCAAACCATTTCGCAATGTAACCACGAAACAGCCACCCATATACCCACCCACCGCCACAAGCCATTTATTGCGGTTCCGCTTGGTGTGGCACTAAGCCAAAAAGCAGATGGACAGACGTAGAAGTTAAAAATAAGAGCGATTCCTCTTCTGGCCACTTGCTAATTAGCCAGCGGTCTGTGAACGAATTGGCAAATTGGATATCATTGAAGATTCGTTGATAAATCAATTTGAATTTTGATTTAATTGCACTCAATGGCGATATTTTGTGCTTTAAATAGGTTTTTTCAGTTTCCTCTGTTAGGGAATATTTAATAGTCAAGGCAGCAACTCACATTCAACTCCTTTTTCTGGAGGGGGCAGCTTCAAGTGTCAGAACACGTAAAGTCAACACGTGAAAATTGGATTATTAGAGCTGGAGCGTGTGCACCATGACAGACGTGGGCAGAGGCAGCAAATTGGTTGAAAGGCGCTCGCAGCACAGACAGGTCCAAGCAGCAGCAGCATCTCAGCGCAGCATATCGATTGGGCAACTAACGAGGCACAAAACGAGCGAATTCTGAGGAATGTGAACAAAATTTAAAATTCAAGCGAAAGTACAAACCAAACAATGGCATCCATAATGCAGTGTACACGGAAACAGAGAGAGAGTGAAGAAATTGTCACAACTACATTTTCCAAGAAATTCATATTCGTTTTTAGTGTTGCAGCAAGTTCCGCCAGTTGCTGGAGGTATCTTGTATCCTGTTGTTGAATGGTAATATCAGAGTATCCGCCAGAGCTGGTCAGCAGACAGCAGTACAATAAATGGACTGACTGCCCATCCATTGTCGCTTAAGTTTAAAGCCATTTCTCCATGGCTCAGCAGCCGCCGCCAGGCTGTCAGATCGTATATCGCAAATCGATTTTTCCTGCTCGGTTATTTTCTTTTTTTTCGGCTATAAATTACAAAACCAGCAAAATGACATGTCCTTCCCTCGTCAAAGTTGCCTGTCTGCCCCAGTAAATTGGGTGGAATTTTCTACACGTAGTTCCAGCGCCTCATTATGGCCGTCACACGGCGGTAATCCCAATGCGTTGTAATAATAATTCAAAAATTGCGTAGAACGGACACATTAGTGCCGCCAGTTTGAGCAATGTGTGATAAACGATGGACCCACCAACAGGTTGTGACAAGTGGATTTGGCGGTGCATTTTGTAGGCACTTCATAAATGTCTAGGGGATTATTTCGCAGGAAATGTAACGCCAGCAGAATGATTGATGGTCCAGAGTGTATAGAGCCTCCAAAGAGCCCATAGAACGCTTTCAGCGAATGCCCATCAAGCAGCGATACAATAAATAATATAATAGTCAGAAACATTTAACAGAGAATCCAAAAAAGTGCCGGAGAAAGAATCAAAAAGGACTGGAGCACAAGCAGACCACCTACCGAACTCATTCAGATTGTAGCCCAGCCATGTTCACATAAAGAGCAGACAAAAGACATAAAGTAAATGAAGCGCCACACAAAATGCAGAGACGATTGTCATGGGCACGAGCTGGTGAGAGCTGCTCCCAGCCACTGCCATACCAGACCATGTCACGAGAGTATTTTCATGCTATTTCCATTTGGCATATTCTCAGTAACTCAGTTGCCATTCAAAGGCGAAATCCAAATCAATTGTTACACACACAATGAAAACAGTTTTTCCTGCACAATAATTGCGTGGCAATAGTATTGAAATACATAAGTCTGTTCAGCATTCTCTGGATACCAAACAGTGCAAAGCTCCAGCTCCCTTTCGGCTTTAATATAAAAATAATCATTTAAGCATGATCCCAGGACTCAGTCCTGCCTGCCTGCCTGCCTGCCTGCCTGCCTGACAGCAATGGAACAATGGACTACTGACGGCTACATGTGTGATTGCTTGATTAAATTGTATGACTGACAGACTGGCAAGTTGTCAAGATAAGGTTTAACATCAATCCGGGGCTGCTTGGTGAGAGCTTAACCTTGAAATGCATGAATACCACCGGAATGGTTATTGTGTCTGGGTTATGTTGCAGGGGGGTTATGTTGAGACATGACAAGTGTGCATTAAGTGGATTCACAAGTATTTATAGAATTAAATTCCTTTAAGCAAAAAATGTAACACTATGGAATTTAAAATGTGTAAAATATATATAACATGTCCAGCCCATTCATCACTCTGATTACTTTTTCCCATTTAATCTACAGACAGACTATGAGTTTCCTTGGAGTAGAAACGCAACCCATTCCAATTCCAATCCACAGCCAAATAGACAATGAACCCGTCCAACCATTTTCAATACTCCAGCAGCAGCAGCAGCAGAAGCAGCAGCATCAGTGCCATGAATACAGATTGCGTGCAGTGACGCACACGCGAATGGATATGGATATGGCTACGGGTACGGGAACGAGTACGGGGGATAGAGAAAAACATTCATACATGACATTTTAATACCCATATGAATGGTAATCAAAAAGTGAACGAAAATAAAACTCAAAGTTGGCGAGGCACAGCACACGAGGCAATCAGAAGGAACAAAAGAGATTATTAATTTCGAACAGAGCTTTAGTCTTCATCTACGTTGGTGATTGTTGAGTGCTGTACAACAATCTTGTTAACAAACAATTGTCAAATTGACGTCCTTTCAAATGGAGCTTATTAGCATAGATTGCTATTTAATGTCGCAAATTGTTTGGCGCAAGGCATTATAATCCGCCTACGATTATCACATGGCTTCTGCATTTGATTTTCAACGGCAGTCTGGTCTGGCAGCCATATTTCGGCTCGGCTCAGACAAGCGGACCGGAGAGCCAGAGAACCCTTAAGTGATTTGTTTGTTCAAGAGGAATTGATTGCAACGAGCAACAAGAGACAGACAGCAAGACAAAGACAAAAGGCAGCCAGCCAGCCAGCTGTGGCATAAGAACCTGAATCCGAATCCAAATCAGCAACAGAAACCCAGACACAGACACCGATATAACCACCCAACGCAGGGGCGGTACACACACGCACACACACACACATTCAATGGCAAGTGTGAATTTGCCATTTTTATGGTTTAAGTGTCGCGTCATTATAATTCAGTCGGAATGCATGGCTTTGGGGCCATTTGAATGGTTTATGGGAGACACATTAAGAGTTCTCCCCGCACATATTTTTTTTAGAAATATATACATATATATCAAACCCAAATGGCAATCTAGATAACATGAAGCACACATCTGACGCAGTTGATAAAGTGCTTTCAAATGGCATGGGTAAAACTACGGAATTTTCCGATTAACGAAAACTTATATGGATTTAATGCTAAACAAACTGAAAAATAAAAGAGATTCCACCCGATGTTAGGAGGATATTATCTACATATTTATAGCATTCATCTTTAGCTATCTGCAGTTCGCAAACAGATTTAGTTTTAGTATTTAAAATACATTTAAACGACAAATCGTTACAGGAATAAACCAGCACCCGCCATCTTCCTAATTCAACATCTTTGTTGCAACTAAAATAACATTAATTTAAGCTTTAAATAAATATATGTTTGCAGATTATATGTTTTATAAGCTCACCCCACATATTCCCAATTATTAGAGGGCAAGATTTATGCAAGACGCTCCAATCCGAGTTCCGCCACAGCAGCAACGAACCTTTCCGCGGTTTCACGCGTAAACTGAGAAAGGGAAACACTGTTTCCGCTCCTTGCCGCACATTGCTCAGCTGCAACAAATTGTAGATTAATTAAATACAACACGAAAATGGTTAAAAGATCTTTACAAATATTAAAGCTGTTGCTGCAGAGCCCGCACTGTCGTCAAGATCATATCTTCCAGCTATGCCGTAATTGATAATCTGCAGCATTTCTTTTTCATTCAGATCCATGCCACTGACATCCTGAATGCGTCGATTAACTGTGCGAATGATGTCATGGTTAGAGGTGGACAACTCGGCTACCTTGCAGGTGCAATTTCGGGAAATCCTTGGTCGTTGCAGTTTCGGTCTAGCCAAGCTCTTCAGTGCCTCTATTTCCTCATGGTTGAAGAGATCATGATAAATATAAATGGGCGCTTCGTGGTCCAATTGCTCCATTCTGATGGCTGCCAGCTGCAGGAACGGCGTCGATCGCAGGTAACGACAGTGCACATAATTTACTCTTCGTGGATACGACTTGGCACACAGGGCTTTAAGCTGCACAAAATCTTCTTTAGGCTCGGAGCGTACAAATGGTTGACTTTCCAGCAGTTTCAGCTTGACAAGCTGCTTCAGCATATACGGATGATCGGGCTGTATGGAAAGTACCTCGTGGGCATGCTCCATAGATGCGGCAAAACGTCCTACGATACCGAAAGGAAATTCAATTAGTATTCAAATGTAAACTCGGCCAAACTGCTTAGCATACCAAAACCCTTTGTGGCCTCAACGAGCATTTCCAAAATGGTGGTATATTTCATGACCATGGTGTCAAACTGTTTGGGATTGCGATGTGCATCAAAGTAGAAGAGTGCCAATTCCAGCCAGTATTCAGCTGTCTCGTAGTGCTCGATATACAGATTAACCAGACCGAACATGAAGCACTCGCTCGGTCCCCATTTCTTGCGACTGGAATAGATAAAAAGTTAAACCACAAATCAGAGAGTTTTCTCAGCTTCACCTATAGCGTTTGCCACGTAATATTCCGCCGGCCATGTCGCCCGGATCCAAGCTATATACGGTCTGAAGTCTGTACATGGCGCCGAGAGCTTCCTCAAAATCAATGCCAGTGGGATGCTCGTGACATCGAGCTTGGGACACTGCAATCTCCTTGGAGCCCAAGACTTTCTTCATCAGCTTCAAACATTGCGGCCAATCCCAGTGCAAGTGGCGTATGAGCCTGAATTCATGCCAAAAATTGTGCCCAGACTTTGCTCTTTTTGTTGCTTTCAACAGATCCTCCGCATGTTTTATGACTCTGCAGAATGTGAGGAACGAATCAATTTTTGGTTGATTTAACTACGATGCGGATTGTACATACAGCTGGACTTGCTTTAGTTGGATCTTTAACGCTTCCTTATAGCTATTAAAATTCTGCACATATGCTTCTTTCAGCTTTAACATGGGCAGCAGAGAATCCAAGGATATGGTAATGCCATGTGACGTGGGTTCATATTGAATCTGCGCCCCAGCCGCAGTTAGAAGCAGCAAGAAAAGATACACTTTAACCATGGCAAATGGCTAATTTAAACTGATCTGAAAAGCCATTTAAATGAAGCACTTCCTGAGAAGCTTGGCTAATATGTTTTCGGTATGCTTCGTGCTTGATTATTCCCCAGATCTTCGTGGGGTTACGTTACATTTATTAATAGCTTTCTCTGCAAATCTAGCGCCAATAGTCTGTAGTCTTGGGAGGATAGGTCTGCAACTGAAAAATGAGACGATCAAATTAGTGTTTAACAGTGATGCGGTTTTAAGGGCTTATTGCACTTACGGGAATTTGTAGCAAAGATTCATGGGACCAGTTGTACGTAAAGTCATCTGTTTCCTGTGTGGTAACATCTTCTGGATTCTCTTCCCCAGATTGGGTGCAATCAGCAGCCATCAGAAGCAGAAAGAACAGGCACAATTTAACCATGGCAAGGGCCACTGTAAACTGATCTGAAAGACCATATGAATCAATAACTTTTTGAGATGCTTGGCTAATATGATATCGGGATGCTTCATGCTTGACTCTTGTTCCAGTTGCCCCACAGCTAACAGGGAAACTGTGTCAGGTATTTTATAGGTACTTATATAGCTACGCTAATATGTATATTAATTTTTATCGATTTTATTTTCATTTATTTATTTATTTATCATCCAATAAATAATTGTATCCGTTTCGTGGCGACTAAAGAGAGACGAAATAAATAGTTTACGATACCATGCGAGCATTATTCCAGACTTACCCCACTTATTGCCCACAATGACGGGACACTCAATGTGGGAATTGCCTGTCCTGGGCCATACCAGAAGCGAACCCTTTTGTGGAGTCACCCGTAGATTTAGAGAGGGAAAATGTGTTTCACCTCCTTGCTCGACATTACTCAGCTGACATAGTGGAGGGATTATACACACATTATAGATGGTTCCAGGCATCATCAACTGAGTACTCACATAAAGCAGGGCAGTGACGACATCTTTATCGCCTGGGGTATGCTCCAGGAAGTGTCCGCCAATGCCAAAGTTTCTGACTTGCAGATCTTCGGACTTGAGGGAACTTCCGGGTGCATGAATGGCAAGGCGTATCCTTCGATTCAAGGTGTTAATTATCGCATGCATTGACCCGCTTAGCTCTGCTGATTGCCATGGACGAGTGGCCATGTAGTCCGTGAAACTGTCAATTTCCCTGTATGTTATTCGGTTCCGTGTCAAAAGCGGACTTGCCAAACGCTTAACAATAGCCAGCTCTTCATTGCTGAGCACATCGTGATAGATACTGATCGCTGGACTAAGGGAAAGTTCTTCCATTTTAAATGGGGCTAAGCGTACAAAGGCATTTTCCCGCGTATAACGACAGTGCAGCCTCCCAGCAGGCAATGACTGATTCTGACGGCACAATCTCTTGAGCAGCTCCGCATCCGAATCTATGGGCAATGATGGTTCTGGTTTGTGCTCATCTGATTTCGTACCAAGTTCTTGTGCTTTAGCTTGGATGTATTCATCGTAGGGCTGTAGTACCAACAGTTCTTTGGCATGTTCCAAAGCAGTCTCAAATTTACCTGCAAAAAGTAATCTTTAAATGGCAAAGTTTCTTTTTTAATGGACATATGCCTTACCCAGGCCTATGTTGGCAAGCATTAAGTACTCCAAGACATGCGCATAGGTCCAGTGACGGAACTCCAGCTGTCTGGGATTGGCATGCCACTTGTAGCTTTCCTTAGTTAGTTTTAGCCAAGCGTCAGCGTCCTTGTAATACCCTTGAAGTTGGCATAGAACTCCAAAGACAAATGTCTCAAAGGCTCCCCACCGCTTAGCCCTGTAAAAGTGTAAATGATGGTAAATGTAGGCTTCTGATAACTCTGATCCATCAACTCACTTGTATTGTCTGCCGCGCAGGTTTCCCTTGGCTATGTCCCCTGGTTCCAACGCATAAGTAAACTGTATGCGCTGCATGCCTTTGAGGGCCTCCACCATGTCCATGTTCGTGGGCATTTGTGGCTGCAGCTCCGTCAGTATCTGTATCTGTATTTTTTCCACCTGAGGCCGCATGACACTAACCCACTTGGCCCAATCCAGATGCATGTGACGCACCACTGCGAACTGATGTATTATATTCATAGCATTTAAGCTCGCCTGCCTGTGCAGATCCTCGTACATCCGAATGGCTCTAGAAATGTATTGTTCATATTCAAATTTCATATTAAATATTCAAGGACTTACAGTTGGACATCTGCCAGTTGCTGCTCCAAAGTTTCCGCATAGCTGCGTAGGTTTGCCACAGTCTTTTCTTTTAATTTTAAAAGCGGCAGCATGGCCTCTAGTGATACAGAAAATCCAAAGGTGGAAGGTTCCAAATATCGCCTGGTTTCTTCAGCATGAATGCGCCTGCCCAGGACTGAAAAAAGCAACAGGAAAACAAACCTGATCATGGCACAGACTGTACACGAAGTAAATGTACTTTAAAGACTCGGAAACCAGCGAAATTACCCTAACGAAAGCATTTGCCATGACAAAACCCTTGGCTTTAATGTGGAAAAAGCATCTGCAAACTTTCCATGGCAGCTTCACAAAGCTAGCAACATGTGGCATTGGTTGCTGTTCTTTCTCTGTTCGCTGCCTCGTGCTGAAATGGAATACATAACAGATCATGCCCTGTCCATAGCTGCCATGAAGAGTCTGGTGGACATGGAAAGTTTCTTTATCGCAGAGCTAGACAAATACTCGGATGACCTGGAATGGAAAATCACCACCATAGAAAGGTTGTTTTCGAGTATTTTTCAAAGATTTCTAAACTATTTCGTTCCACTCAGCTTTCTGGATGAAGTGCAGATGAGAAAGGCGCCTTGGCGGAATACTCCGGATGAATTCGTTGCCCATCCGTTGACCAGTTTCTCGCTTGTACGACGCCTACATGAGGATTGGAGCCACATGGAGCTGTTTATGTCAACTCGGTTGGGCTTGAATTATCTCAACAAAATTCAGAGGGTACTGGACTTGGCCAAGCCCACGGAACAGGACCTGCACGATGCCCTCAGCGGAATAGATGCCATTCAGAATCAGTATGATCTAAAGGCAACAAACATGGCCAATGGAGTGCTGAATGGACGGCAATACAAGTAGGTTGAATGGTTCTTAAATCTGATATATGTTGTACCCCACCGCATGTTCCATGCAGCACCAATCTGACGACTCTTGATTGCCTGGCTATGGTTCAATTTCACGAAAATAACAAACAGATGCATGCGTCAATTGATTGGAATGCGGCAGCGCTGCAGCAGTACGATGAGGCCAGAGATGGTCATCTCTACAGAGAAGTTTTCAACTTTTCATTATCCGATTTGTATGGCAACTATGCGCGTTCTTTGACAGCCAAAGGTAGGTCAGACTTAACCCATATTCCACATCCTTTCTATGGGTTTTTTCGAACCTCCAAACAGGTTTAAGGCAAACCGCATTGACGCTACTAAAGGATGTGTCCCATTTCCATGCTGATCTCTGGCAACTGCAGCGCGACATCACGAACAAAATGGAACTGCATGAGCACGACGATATAGTAAGTTTTTAATCGAAAGATCCACAATTGCATCATTCCATGGTTCTTGCTTGCAGCAAATGAAAAGAGAACAAAATACCCTACTGATCGGTTGCCTGGGCTTGTTTCCACCCATTAGGAATCGTAGTTGTCACTACGAGAGTACAAGAACAGCCTTCCTGCGACTGGCGCCACTCAAAGTCGAGTTGCTTAGCCTGGACCCCTACATAGCCGTCTATCACGATGCCATTTACGATACGGAGATTCGGCGTGTCATGACACTGCCAGTCCACACTCTAAAGGGTCCTCCCCGCTACCGCGACCGGCGGGAATACAATCTGAAGTTTACTACGGTCTACGAGGATGCAAATAGCCAGCTGAATCAACGCATCAGGGATATGACGGGTGAGGAGGTGAAAGAAGACAAGGATTTTAGCATCTACAATTATGGCATAGGTGGCTACATACGTTACCATGTGGATAACTTGCCAAAAGAAGATCTAAAGGTATCGTAGCATATTTGAACACACAGAAGACAGCAAAATACTTATACAATTATTTTCTTATAGCCAGGCTTTGGGGATTTCCAGACAACAATTATCTACTTCGTAGGTTTCTTTTTCTGTATCGTTTCCCATTCTGTCGTTAATCTTTCAGTACCCAATTTAGTTGAATGACGTGACCCATGGCGGCGCCATTTCATTTCCACCACTTCAAATGACAGTCTGGCCGCGCAAAGGCAGTGCTGTGGTGTGGCACAATCTAGACAATAATTCGCAGCTTGATTTACGTGTCGCACACATCTCGTGCCCCGTCATAGTGGGCTCCAAATGGAGTAAGTTCGCATAGAACTGTTCCCATGCACAGTTTAATTTTACTTCATTTTACAGCCCTAGTCAAGTGGCTGCATGAGGGACACCAAAATTTTACGCAGACCCCGGAAAAACCACGTGACTAAATCACGAAAATGAGAACCGTGAAATGCTTAATTTTCCAACGCTTTTCGCTGCTTAATGGTTGCTAGTTTTAAGCCAGTTTAAAATTGTTTTTTAGACCGCTGAGAACTCGAGTAAAATGATCCGATTTGTTGGCTTAATTTTCCTCATAGTTTTAGTCCAGGACTGTGACTCTATGGATTCAGTTAATTTTGCTACAGACTACTACAGTTCTTCGGTTTTGGGTTTACTAAAACTGCTTGAAATTGAGCGACAGTTCATGGAAGAATTCGTTGGCCATGCAGATGTCCTGCAAGAGAAGCTGGACAACCTGCAAATGTGCGTGAGAGAAACTTCGGTGGGGGTCTGCTAGTCCAAAAACCACTTGCACTTCCATTCCTTTCCTTTCAGGTACATCGACTCTTTGGATCGTGCCAAGCATGAAAGCCACAAGGAACGGGAAAGGTTCGTCTCCAATCCACTCAACGCTTACGGACTGATCCGTCGCCTGCAGCAGGACTGGCCCAAATGGCAGAACTACACCAAGAAGCCACTGGGCACAGCCCAGCTGCAGGGCATGGAAGAGCTGCTCTTGAAGGCGCCTGATAACCACGACTTGACAGAGTCGCTCAAGTCAATGGATCGAATTGAGAGAACCTATGACCTGCCAGCCAGCCAAATAGCCAGGGGTCTGCTGCAGCACCAGCAATACGAGTGAGTATGATCCAAGTGTGCCCAAGAAACTATACAATACAACCCTCTGAGCAGCACTCAACTGTCAGTCAGAGACTGCTTGGCCTTGGCACAGCACAAAAATGTATCGGGCGACTATATACGTGCCTCCATGTGGTATCGCGAGGCACTGCGCCACGAGTCCGAGCCAAACGCCGAGATTATCAACGCAGTTTTGGGCAATCCCCTCGAAGGTGTGGAACATCAGTTTGCCAGCGCCATTATCATACGCGGTAAGCAGCAGTCAAGGAAAGTTCGGTTTGAGCCATTGAACTTCAGGCTTTCATTTGACAGAACTTGGTATATCGGGTAAATCGCTGAGCAGGACGAGAATGCAAGGAGTAGCCAGCCACTTTTTGACCAACTCCAAGCCACAAGTTGTGGATGCATTCATCAGGCATTATCTCGCTGAAAGCGATGAGGGAATAGCCAAAGAGTTGGGAACGCTACAGACGCCGCCTACTTCCCGCGAATTCGGATGTCGTGGACTCTATGCGAAGCGCACGAATCTCGTGTGTCGCTACAACAGCACCACAACGCCATTCCTGAGACTGGCACCCCTGAAAATGGAGGAGATAAGCCACGATCCCTACATCGTTATGTACCACCAAGTGTTATCGGACCGAGAAATTGGGGAAATGAAGCAACTGGCACAGCCAATGACCAATGGTTTGTCGGGCTCTATCGAAGCGAATAATTCGGAGCCCCTGGAAGTTGTGGCACGCATTGCATGGCTGCTCGAAGCGTCGCCCTTCAGGGAGCGGCTAAATCTCCGCATTGGCGACATGACCGGCTTCGATGTGAGTGAGTTCAAGGCCCTGCAGGTGGCCAACTTTGGTGTGGGCTCGTACTTCAAGGCACACTTCGATTACCTCACCAATCGCATCGTAGACACGAGCATCTCCCAGTTGGGCGATCGCACTGGCAGCCTCATCATCTATGTCAGTAAATGCCCATTCGCTTGCCCCATTTAAATTCACACTTTAGTTCCCTTACAGGCCGGTGAAGTGCAACAAGGTGGAGCCACAATATTCCCCGACATTCAGGTGATGGTCCCACCCCAGAAGGGCAACAGTTTGTTCTGGTACAACACATTCGACGACTCGACCCCTGACCCGCGTTCCCTGCATGCCGTATGCCCCGTCATAGCGGGATCTAGATGGAGTAAGTGCACCCTACAGTATCCGGGGACTGGGATCTCATTCGATTGCCTATTTGCAGCGGTTACGAAATGGCTCCACCAATGGCCACAAATGTTTCTGAAGCCCTGCAGTCCACGTCCGCGGGCAGTGGAACGAAAATCTTAAATTGCAATTTAAGATAAATAAAGTTTGAAATTGCAAAGTGAACCACATTAGTCCCCGTTGCTAATTTTCTGGAATAAAATGATATTTAGTTTGTCATCTGATCAGTAAAAATGCAACGTTGCCTGAACATAGTCACAGCTCTGCTACTCCTAGGACAAACCATTGCCGATCGACCCTACGATGAGCACAGGGAACGTTATAGCTCCTCCACAGTGGGATTGTTGAAGCTGCTGGAACTAGAGATGCAGTTTATAGAGAACCTGAAGAGCTACACAGATCTACTATCCGCAAAAGCAAATACCTTACAAGAGTGAGTAAAATGCAGTTGAAAATCAATTAATTGCTAAAGTAAACCAAACTCTTGGAAGTTTCATCGACTCTGTGGATCGTGGAACGGAGAAAAGCCTCACTGAACGCGAGAAATACGTATCCAATCCGCTGAATGCCTTTGGACTGATGAGACGCACGCATCAGGATTGGCCCAAATGGCACAACTACATAAATAATACTGTGGGAAGGGGTAAGGTACAATCACTGGATGATATTCTGGCCAAGGCTCCGGATAGTCAGGATATGAAGGAGGCCCTGGTGGGCATGCAACGGATAGAAAGAACCTATGGGCTGCAGGCCTATGACCTGGCAAAGGGTCGACTGCAGGACAGGCAATACGAGTGAATATCCCACTACTAAGAACAGCATACACAAGCTAAACCCATTCGCGTTTCAGCACTCAACTATCCATTCGGGACTGCTTGGCCCTTGGGCAGCACAAGTTCCAGGAAGGCGACTACTTGCGGGCTTCTCTGTGGTACCGAATGGCCCTCAAGCACGAACCCGAACCGAATGCCGAGATATTCAATGAGATTCTGGGGGATCCATTGAAGGACTTGAAGCGGAACTATGCCAAAGCCACCATTATAAATGGTATATGCATGAAAAAGTTTAATGTTATCCACTAACCCCTTTTAAATTCCAGGACTAATGGCAGGAAATCGATCTGCAAACATCCAGGAGGTTCTGGACATAACAGAGGAAGCGATGCTCAAGTCTAGTCCAGCAGAGCTGGATGCACTTATAACGGAGTTGCTGAATCAATCAGATGATGAAATGGCCAGGGAAATGTCTGCCTCTGAGCCTTCGCCCACCCCCTACGAAATCGGATGTCGCGGACTCTATCCGAAGCGCACGAATCTCGTCTGTCGCTACAACAGCAGCACGACTCCATTCCTGAGACTGGCACCACTGAAAATGGAGGAAGTGAACCACGATCCTTATATCGTCATGTACCACGAAGTTCTCTTCGATGGGGAGATCGAGGAACTCAAGAAGCAGTCGAAGAATATGATCAATGGATTTCCGGAGCCACAGCAGGAGAATAAGATCAGGCAGGTCATAGCGCGTCATGCCTGGTGGTGGGAGCAGACGCCGACCAGGGCGCGCATCTATCAACGGATCACAGACATAACAGGCTTTCGCTTATTTGCGGAGGAGGAGCTGAATGTGGCCAATTATGGCCTGGGCACTGTATTTGGGCCCCATTACGACTACACGCCCGAAAACTATGAGACTGGCTGGTTCCTGGGCGGTCCCTTGGTCACCATAATTCTCTATGTAAGTATTTTAGGTACGTGCGATCGCTCTACATTTCACCTTCAATGTCCAACAGGCTGGCGATGTGGCGCAAGGTGGTGCCACCATCTTTCCCCTAATTAATATCACTGTGTTCCCCCGAAAGGGCAGTGCCTTGTTCTGGTTCAACTTGTTCGATGACGGCGAACCAGATCCACGCAGTCTGCACTCTTCCTGCCCCGTAATCGTGGGGGATAGATGGAGTAGGTAGCTCCCATCTATGCCACATATTTTATACGTGATGTTATATTCGCCATTTCCAGTTCTCTCCAAGTGGATACACATGGTTCCCCAGATGTTTATCATGCCCTGCATACCAAGGAAACTATTGTCACAAAAAGAATAAATAAAGTTTCTATGATTCTTTCATATGAAGGAAGGTAAATCAACCAGAGATCCCCATTAAAATATATGTAGTTCTGAAGTCTGATTCATCATCTACCAAAACTAAGAAAATATAAATAAATTAGTTCGACAGATCGGTTCTGGTTGTTCGGATTTCCTACAAGTCTAGTCGTTAATATAATACGGTAGAAAACTCACCCTCTCTTGCTGCATTTCCAATCAATTTTCTAGGCTTTAGTCACATCAAACTGCTTCTGGTAGAACGACTCAGATAGTAGACAGTCCAGTCTATGCAGTCATAATGAGACAGTGGCCAAGTTTGCTCACAGTTTTGCTCTTCTTGAGTCCCCTCATTGCAGGGGACGTTGAGGAGAAGCCATACAATGAGAGTGGGGAATGGTATAGCACCTCCACAGTGGGATTGTTGAAGCTGCTGGAACTAGAGATGCAGTTTATAGAGAACCTGAAGAGCTACACAGATCTACTATACGCAAAAGCAAATACCTTACAAGAGTGAGTAAAATGCAGTTGAAAATCAATTATTTGCTAAAGTAAGCCAAACTCTTGGAAGTTTCATCGACTCTGTGGATCGTGGAACGGAGAAAAGCCTCACTGAACGCGAGAAATACGTATCCAATCCGCTGAATGCCTTTGGACTGATGAGACGCACGCATCAGGATTGGCCCAAATGGCACAACTACATAAATAATACTGTGGGAAGGGGTAAGACCTTTTTTCATTATTTCTCATGAATCATACATAATACCTTCCGAGTAGATCAACTACAATCACTGGATGATATTCTGGCCAAGGCTCCGGATAGTCAAGATATGAAGGCAGCCCTGGAGGGCATGCAACGGATAGAAAGAACCTATGGGCTGCAGGCCTATGACCTGGCAAAGGGTCGACTGCAGGACAAGCAATACGAGTGAATATCCCAATACTAAGAACAGCATACACAAGCTAAACCCATTCGCGTTTCAGCACTCAACTATCCATTCGGGACTGCTTGGCCCTTGGGCAGCACAAGTTCCAGGAAGGCGACTACTTGCGGGCTTCTCTGTGGTACCGAATGGCCCTCAAGCACGAACCCGAACCGAATGCCGACTCATTCAATGAGATTCTGGGGGATCCACTGAAGGACTTGAATCTGAACTATGCCAAAGCCACCATTATAGATGGTACATTCCTGATGTGGTTTCTTTTTATCGCCTGACGTCATTTACATTCCAGGACTAATCGAAGAACTGAGCCCAGGAAATCAATCTCAAAAAATCCAGCAGGTTGTGGACGTAACGGAGGAAGAGTTACACAAGTCTAGAGCAGCAGAGCTGGATGGTTTCGTAACATATTTGCTGGATCAACCAGATGATGATTTGGCTCGGGAAATGGCCGAGCCTGCCCTTAGCTCCTACGAAATCGGATGTCGCGGACTCTATCCGAAGCGCACGAATCTCGTGTGTCGCTACAACTTCACGACAACGCCATTCCTGAGACTGGCACCCCTGAAAATGGAGGAGGTAAACCACGATCCCTATATCGTTATGTACCACGAAGTTCTTTCGGAGAATGAAATTGAGGAAATGAAGAGGCGATCCTGGGCAGACATGAAGGAGGAGAACAAAGCTCCAAAGCTCAGGAACATCGTATGCCGTCATTGGTTTTGGTCGGAACAGTCGGCCGTCAGGGAGCGCATAAATCGACGCATATCAGATATGACGGGCTTCGATTTCCCACTGACAGAGAATCTGCAGGTGGCCAATTACGGCCTGGGCACCCACTTCAAGCCCCACTATGACTACACATCCGATGGTTACGAGACCCCAGATGTCCTAACCCTGGGCGATCGACTGGGCACCATTATCTTCTATGTATGTACTTACTCCGTCCACCGATAGAGAGACTTCTACAGTTACACTTCGATCCTCCACAGGCTAGCGATGTGCCGCAAGGTGGTGCCACTGTCTTTCCTCGCAGTCGTGTCTCGATTCACCCCCGAAAGGGTAGCAGCGTTTTCTGGTTTAATCTATACGACGATGGCAGACCAGATACTCGTAGTCAGCATTCGGTGTGCCCTGTAATCGTAGGCGATAGATGGAGTAGGTCATTTATCATATATTATTGATATATTTGGATGATATGATGCATTTGTACATTTTTGCAGCTCTCACCAAATGGCTGCATATTGTTCCTCAAATGTTTGTCATGCCTTGCAAGCCGAGAGAGAAGTCTTAAGGAAATCCAATAAACAAAAAGTACATAAAAAGGTTTCTGAAACTATAAAAAGATTGTTAGAGTGCACTGGCTCTGGAGCAGACTTCTGCTGAAAATATATAAAGGAGAGAAAGCTGAGAAAAAGAGAGTTTTTAGGTGCTTACGAATCCCCCAGTGGTGCCGGGAACAAGGAAATGCAATAAACTCGAACTAACGAACCAGGGAAATTGCAATTTTCAGCTATGGATGGAAATATGAACCATAAATGCGGCAGTTACACACCAAAGCCAAGATGAAGATGAGGTTCCTCTGCCAGCTCAATCTGTTAGTTCTACTTTTGCATCAGTATCTTGCCATGGAAGAGCCCGAGCAGCAAGACGTGAAGATGATCTACAGCAACTCTGTGCTGAGCATGGTCAAGCTTTTGGAAATGGAAGATGCTTTAAAAGACAACCTGGCGTCCTACGTCAAAGCCATGCAAACAAAATTGGATGATTTAAAACTGTAAGTCATGCAAAAAAATTCTCAAATATCAGAGCATGGAAATTCTTTGCAGTTTTCAACAGTTGCTGCAGAGAAAGACAATGACAAGTCTAGAGGAAAGGGAGGAATTTATGGGAAATCCGCTCAATGCTTTTCCCCTGCTGCGACGCCTCAATGAGGATTGGCCCAAGTGGTTGAATTATCTACAAACACCCATAGCCAGCAAAAGCACAAACGCAATGGAACAAAGATTGAAATTATCACCCAGCAATGAGGATCTTCAGGTGGCGCTCAAAGGTTTCGCGCGCATCGAAAGTTTCTACGATCAAGAGGCAGCGGACCTGGCCAAGGGTTACCTATTGGGGCAACACTTTGAGTGGGTTAACCTTTACCTAAATTCGCCTAGAGTTAAAACCTAAAATGATATATTCTTTTAGCTCTGAGTTGACGGCCCCTGACTGCTTTGCTCTGGCTGAGTTTTACTGCAATCAAACGAAATTCTCAAGTATAGTAAGTTTTTAATCGAAAGATCCACAATTGCATCATTCCATGGTTCTTGCTTGCAGCAAATGAAAAGAGAACAAAATACCCTACTGATCGGTTGCCTGGGCTTGTTTCCACCCATTAGGAATCGTAGTTGTCACTACGAGAGTACAAGAACAGCCTTCCTGCGACAAAGTCGAGTTGCTTAGCCTGGACCCCTACATAGCCCCAAAATTTTACGCAGACCCCGGAAAAACCACGTGACTAAATCACGAAAATGAGAACCGTGAAATGCTTAATTTTCCAACGCTTTTCGCTGCTTAATGGTTGCTAGTTTTAAGCCAGTTTAAAATTGTTTTTTAGACCGCTGAGAACTCGAGTAAAATGATCCGATTTGTTGGCTTAATTTTCCTCATAGTTTTAGTCCAGGACTGTGACTCTATGGATTCAGTTAATTTTGCTACAGACTACTACAGTTCTTCGGTTTTGGGTTTACTAAAACTGCTTGAAATTGAGCGACAGTTCATGGAAGAATTCGTTGGCCATGCAGATGTCCTGCAAGAGAAGCTGGACAACCTGCAAATGTGCGTGAGAGAAACTTCGGTGGGGGTCTGCTAGTCCAAAAACCACTGGCACTTCCATTCCATTCCTTTCAGGTACATCGACTCATTGGATCGTACCAAGCATGAAAGCCACAAGGAACGGGAAAGGTTCGTCTCCAATCCACTCAACGCTTACGGACTGATCCGTCGCCTGCAGCAGGACTGGCCCAAATGGCAGAACTACACCAAGAAGCCACTGGGAACAGCCCAGCTGCAGGGCATGGAAGAGCTGCTCTTGAAGGCGCCTGATAACCACGACATGACAGAGTCGCTCAAGTCAATGGATCGAATTGAGAGAACCTATGACCTGCCAGCCAGCCAAATAGCCAGGGGTCTGCTGCAGCACCAGCAATACGAGTGAGTATGATCCAAGTGTGCCCAAGAAACTATACAATACAACCCTCTGAGCAGCACTCAACTGTCAGTCAGAGACTGCTTGGCCTTGGCACAGCACAAAAATGTATCGGGCGACTATATACGTGCCTCCATGTGGTATCGCGAGGCACTGCGCCACGAGTCCGAGCCAAACGCCGAGATTATCAACGCAGTTTTGGGCAATCCCCTCGAAGGTGTGGAACATCAGTTTGCCAGCGCCATTATCATACGCGGTAAGCAGCAGTCAAGGGAAGTTTGGTTTGAGCCATAGAACTTCAGGCTTTCATTTAACAGAACTTGGTCTATCGGGTAAATCGCTGAGCCGGACGAGAATGCAAGGAGTAGCCAGCCACTTTTTGACCAACTCCAAGCCACAAGTTGTGGATGCATTCATCAGGCATTATCTCGCTGAAAGCGATGAGGGAATAGCCAAAGAGTTGGGAACGCTACAGACGCCGCCTACTTCCCGCGAATTCGGATGTCGTGGACTCTATGCGAAGCGCACGAATCTCGTGTGTCGCTACAACAGCACCACAACGCCATTCCTGAGACTGGCACCCCTGAAAATGGAGGAGATAAGCCACGATCCCTACATCGTTATGTACCACCAAGTGTTATCGGACCGAGAAATTGGGGAAATGAAGCAACTGGCACAGCCAATGACCAATGGTTTGTCGGGCTCTATCGAGGCGAATAATTCGGAGCCCCTGGAAGTTGTGGCACGCATTGCATGGCTGCTCGAAGCGTCGCCCTTCAGGGAGCGGCTAAATCTCCGCATTGGCGACATGACCGGCTTCGATGTGAGTGAGTTCAAGGCCCTGCAGGTGGCCAACTTTGGTGTGGGCTCGTACTTCAAGGCACACTTCGATTACCTCACCAATCGCATCGTAGACACGAGCATCTCCCAGTTGGGCGATCGCACTGGCAGCCTCATCATCTATGTCAGTAAATGCCCATTCGCTTGCCCCATTTAAATTCACACTTTAGTTCCCTTACAGGCCGGTGAAGTGCAACAAGGTGGAGCCACAATATTCCCCGACATTCAGGTGATGGTCCCACCCCAGAAGGGCAACAGTTTGTTCTGGTACAACACATTCGACGACTCGACCCCTGACCCGCGTTCCCTGCATGCCGTATGCCCCGTCATAGCGGGATCTAGATGGAGTAAGTGCACCCTGCCGTATCCGGAGACTGGGATCTCATTCGATTGCCTATTTGCAGCGGTTACGAAATGGCTCCACCAATGGCCACAAATGTTTCTGAAGCCCTGCAGTCCACGTCCGCGGGCAGTGGAACGAAAATCTTAAATTGCAATTTAAGATAAATAAAGTTTGAAATTGCAAAGTGAACCACATTAGTCCCCGTAGCTAATTTTCTGGAATAAAATGATATTTAGTTTGTCATCTGATCAGTAAAAATGCAACGTTGCCTGAACATAGTCACAGCTCTGCTACTCCTAGGACAAACCATTGCCGATCGACCCTACGATGAGCACAGGGAACGTTATAGCTCCTCCACAGTGGGATTGTTGAAGCTGCTGGAACTAGAGATGCAGTTTATAGAGAACCTGAAGAGCTACACAGATCTACTATACGCAAAAGCAAATACCTTACAAGAGTGAGTAAAATGCAGTTGAAAATCAATTAATTGCTAAAGTAAACCAAACTCTTGGAAGTTTCATCGACTCTGTGGATCGTGGAACGGAGAAAAGCCTCACTGAACGCGAGAAATACGTATCCAATCCGCTGAATGCCTTTGGACTGATGAGACGCACGCATCAGGATTGGCCCAAATGGCACAACTACATAAATAATACTGTGGGAAGGGGTAAGGTACAATCACTGGATGATATTCTGGCCAAGGCTCCGGATAGTCAGGATATGAAGGAGGCCCTGGTGGGCATGCAACGGATAGAAAGAACCTATGGGCTGCAGGCCTATGACCTGGCAAAGGGTCGACTGCAGGACAGGCAATACGAGTGAATATCCCACTACTAAGAACAGCATACACAAGCTAAACCCATTCGCGTTTCAGCACTCAACTATCCATTCGGGACTGCTTGGCCCTTGGGCAGCACAAGTTCCAGGAAGGCAACTACTTGCGGGCTTCTCTGTGGTACCGAATGGCCCTCAAGCACGAACCCGAACCGAATGCCGAGATATTCAATGAGATTCTGGGGGATCCATTGAAGGACTTGAAGCGGAACTATGCCAAAGCCACCATTATAAATGGTATATGCATGAAAAAGTTTAATGTTATCCACTAACCCCTTTTGAATTCCAGGACTAATGGCAGGAAATCGATCTGCAAACATCCAGGAGGTTCTGGACATAACAGAGGAAGCGATGCTCAAGTCTAGTCCAGCAGAGCTGGATGCACTTATAACGGAGTTGCTGAATCAATCAGATGATGAAATGGCCAGGGAAATGTCTGCCTCTGAGCCTTCGCCCACCCCCTACGAAATCGGATGTCGCGAACTCTATCCGAAGCGCACGAATCTCGTCTGTCGCTACAACAGCAGCACGACTCCATTCCTGAGACTGGCACCACTGAAAATGGAGGAAGTGAACCACGATCCTTATATCGTCATGTACCACGAAGTTCTCTTCGATGGGGAGATCGAGGAACTCAAGAAGCAGTCGAAGAATATGATCAATGGATTTCCGGAGCCACAGCAGGAGAATAAGATCAGGCAGGTCATAGCGCGTCATGCCTGGTGGTGGGAGCAGACGCCGACCAGGGCGCGCATCTATCAACGGATCACAGACATAACAGGCTTTCGCTTATTTGCGGAGGAGGAGCTGAATGTGGCCAATTATGGCCTGGGCACTGTATTTGGGCCCCATTACGACTACACGCCCGAAAACTATGAGACTGGCTGGTTCCTGGGCGGTCCCTTGGTCACCATAATTCTCTATGTAAGTATTTTTGGTACGTGAGATCGCTCTACATTTCACCTTCAATGTCCAACAGGCTGGCGATGTGGCGCAAGGTGGTGCCACCATCTTTCCCCTAATTAATATCACTGTGTTCCCCCGAAAGGGCAGTGCCTTGTTCTGGTTCAACTTGTTCGATGACGGCGAACCAGATCCACGCAGTCTGCACTCTTCCTGCCCCGTAATCGTGGGGGATAGATGGAGTAGGTAGCTCCCATCTATGCCACATATTTTATACGTGATGTTATATTCGCCATTTCCAGTTCTCTCCAAGTGGATACACATGGTTCCCCAGATGTTTATCATGCCCTGCATACCAAGGAAACTATTGTCACAAAAAGAATAAATAAAGTTTCTATGATTCTTTCATATGAAGGAAGGTAAATCAACCAGAGATCCCCATTAAAATATATGTAGTTCTGAAGTCTGATTCATCATCTACCAAAACTAAGAAAATATAAATAAATTAGTTCGACAGATCGGTTCTGGTTGTTCGGATTTCCTACAAGTCTAGTCGTTAATATAATACGGTAGAAAACTCACCCTCTCTTGCTGCATTTCCAATCAATTTTCTAGGCTTTAGTCACATCAAACTGCTTCTGGTAGAACGACTCAGATAGTAGACAGTCCAGTCCAGTCTATGCAGTCATAATGAGACAGTGGCCAAGTTTGCTCACAGTTTTGCTCTTCTTGAGTCCCCTCATTGCAGGGGACGTTGCGGAGAAGCCATACAATGAGAGTGAGGAACGTTATAGCTCCTCCACTGTGGGATTGTTGAAGCTGTTGGAACTAGAGATGGAGTTTATAAAGAACCTGAAGAGCTACACAGATCTACTATCCGCAAAAGCAAATACCTTACAAGAGTGAGTAAAATGCAGTTGAAAATCAATTATTTGCTAAAGTAAGCCAAACTCTTGGAAGTTTCATCGACTCTGTGGATCGTGGAACGGAGAAAAGCCTCACTGAACGCGAGAAATACGTATCCAATCCGCTGAATGCCTTTGGACTGATGAGACGCACGCATCAGGATTGGCCCAAATGGCACAACTACATAAATAATACTGTGGGAAGGGGTAAGCTATAATTCTATGGCTGCCAATAAATCGATAATAATACCTTCCGAATAGATCAACTACAATCACTGGATGATATTCTGACCAAGGCTCCGGATAGTCAGGATATGAAGGAGGCCCTGGTGGGCATGCAACGGATAGAAAGAACCTATGGGCTGCAGGCCTGTGACCTGGCAAAGGGTCGACTGCAGGACAGGCAATACGAGTGAATATACCACTACTAAGAACAGCTAAACAGAACAAGCTAAACCCATTCGCGTTTCAGCACTCAACTATCCATTCGGGACTGCTTGGCTCTTGGGCAGCACAAGTTCCAGGAAGGCGACTACTTCCGGGCTTCTCTGTGGTACCGAATGGCCCTCAAGCACGAACCCGAACCGAACGCCGAGACATTCAATGAGATTCTGGGGGATCCACTGAAGGACTTGAAGCTGAACTATGCCAAAGCCACCATTATAGATGGTACATTCCTGATGTGGTTTCTTTTTATCGCCTGACGTCATTTACATTCCAGGACTAATCGAAGAACTGAGCCCAGGAAATCAATCTCAAAAAATTCAGCAGGTTGTGGACGTAACGGAGGAAGAGTTACACAAGTCTAGAGCAGCAGAGCTGGATGGTTTCGTAACATATTTGCTGGATCAACCAGATGATGATTTGGCTCGGGAAATGGCCGAGCCTGCCCTTAGCTCCTACGAAATCGGATGTCGCGGACTCTATCCGAGGCGCACGAATCTCGTCTGTCGCTACAACTTCACGACAACGCCATTCCTGAGACTGGCACCCCTGAAAATGGAGGAGGTAAACCACGATCCCTATATCGTTATGTACCACGAAGTTCTTTCGGAGAATGAAATTGAGGAAATGAAGAGGCGATCCAGTGAGATGAGCAATGGCTGGGCAGACATGAAGGAGGAGAACAGTACAAAGCTCAGGGATATCGTATGCCGTCATTGCTTTTGGTCGGAACAGTCGGCCGTCAGGGAGCGCATAAATCGACGCATATCAGATATGACGGGCTTCGATTTCCCACTGACAGAGAATCTGCAGGTGGCCAATTACGGCCTGGGCACCCACTTCAAGCCCCACTATGACTACACATCCGATGGTTACGAGACCCCAGATGTTCTAACCCTGGGCGATCGACTGGGCACCATTATCTTCTATGTATGTACGTACTCCGTCCACCGATAGAGAGACTTCTACAGTTACACTTCGATCCTCCACAGGCTAGCGATGTGCCGCAAGGTGGTGCCACTGTCTTTCCTCGCAGTCGTGTCTCGATTCTCCCCCGAAAGGGTAGCAGCGTTTTCTGGTTTAATCTATACGACGATGGCAGACCAGATACTCGTAGTCAGCATTCGGTGTGCCCTGTAATCGTAGGCGATAGATGGAGTAGGTCATTTATCATATATTATTGATATATTTGGATGATATGATGCATTTGTACATTTTTGCAGCTCTCACCAAATGGCTGCATATTGTTCCTCAAATGTTTGTCATGCCTTGCAAGCCGAGAGAGAAGTCTTAAGGAAATCCAATAAACAAAAAGTACATAAAAAGGTTTCTGAAACTATAAAAAGATTGTTAGAGTGCACTGGCTCTGGAGCAGACTTCTGCTGAAAATATATAAAGGAGAGAAAGCTGAGAAAAAGAGAGTTTTTAGGTGCTTACGAATCCCCCAGTGGTGCCGGGAACAAGGAAATGCAATAAACTCGAACTAACGAACCATGGAAATTGCAATTTTCAGCTATGGATGGAAATATGAACCATAAATGCGGCAGTTGCACACCAAAGCCAAGATGAAGATGAGGTTCCTCTGCCAGCTCAATCTGTTAGTTCTACTTTTGCATCAGTATCTTGCCATGGAAGAGCCCGAGCAGCAAGACGTGAAGATGATCTACAGCAACTCTGTGCTGAGCATGGTCAAGCTTTTGGAAATGGAAGATGCTTTAAAAGACAACCTGGCGTCCTACGTCAAAGCCATGCAAACAAAATTGGATGATTTAAAACTGTAAGTCATGCAACAAAATTCTCAAATATCAGAGCATGGAAATTCTTTGCAGTTTTCAACAGTTGCTGCAGAGAAAGACAATGACAAGTCTAGAGGAAAGGGAGGAATTTATGGGAAATCCGCTTAATGCTTTTCCCCTGCTGCGACGCCTCAATGAGGATTGGCCCAAGTGGTTGAATTATCTACAAACACCCATAGCCAGCAAAAGCACAAACGCAATGGAACAAAGATTGAAATTATCACCCAGCAATGAGGATCTTCAGGTGGCGCTCAAAGGTTTCGCGCGCATCGAAAGTTTCTACGATCAAGAGGCAGCGGACCTGGCCAAGGGTTACCTATTGGGGCAACACTTTGAGTGGGTTAACCTTTACCTAAAGTCGCTTAGACTTAAAACCTAAAATGATATATTCTTTTAGCTCTGAGTTGACGGCCCCTGACTGCTTTGCTCTGGCTGAGTTTTACTGCAATCAAACGAAATTCTCAAGAGCCACGCCCTGGTATCGCATGGCCCTAAGACTGCACCAGAATTCCGAGGGCAAACTCCATCAGAAGGTTTTGGAGCTAAAGCGGAAGAGGATCTATAAGAAGTATGCCAAGGCCCTGATCATGCAGGGTAAGCTGAGATTTGGGCTGCTTATAAATTAGATCAAATTCTTACAAACTCTCTGCTTAGCCTTCTATTCGGCTATGCCGAATCAGGTTAATCCCGAATGGGATAAAATGGCCAGTCAGGTGGTAGTCGAGAACAACTATGCCAGCATCAAAAATGCCATAGACGAATACCTTGCAGGTGATGAGGTGATCCTACGGCAGGAGGCTGCTCAGCACAAGCCCAAACCATCCAGGCTGGAGCGCGGCTGTCGTGGAAAGTGGCCGAGGCTGTCCTCCGCTCAACTGGCCTGCAGATATAACCGGGAGAACTCTGCCTTTCTTCGACTGGCACCGCTCAAAATGGAAGTCCTTAACGAGCGACCGCTGATAGTGCTCTACCACGAGGTACTCTACGAAAGCGAATTAAAATCAATACGGGATATGGCCAATAATAATGACACCATGACGGATGTCTGGACTCACCGGCACTTTAATCAGCCAATCATGCCAACGCGCGAAGATCGGGTGGCGAAGCTGCACGTTTTTCCAGGCATCGATGAGTCGTTCTCCCTGAGCATCAATCGACGCATAGCGCACATGACCGGGCTGGAGCTGCAGGGTAACACGGCCTTGCATTTGTCCAATTATGGTCTGGGTGGCTATTTTAATGCCCATGAGGACTATGTGGATCTTGCCAGACGTCCAGTGAGTAGGCGGTTCCGTCTTAGCAATGAAATTTTATCCATGTGGATCCTTCTTTGCAGGCGAACTATTTTACTGAATGGGGAGGCGATGTTTTGGCCACAGTTCTACTCTATGTAAGTGATCTGATTTCGCATGAATTGTGCACTTTTTAGAGCTGTTTGCGCATCTCCTTTTAGGTAAGTGACGTGCGCATGGGAGGAGCCAATGTTTTTCCCAAATTGAAAATCTCCGTGGCACCCAAGAAGGGTAATGCTTTGATCTGGCACAACCTGAACAATGCTGGCAATCCCGAGAAGCTCTCCAGCCATGCGGTCTGCCCCGTTGTCATGGGTTCCCGTTGGAGTAAGTTGAGGATCCCAAAAACTGTAAAGATAATTCGATATTATTGGCATTTTGTTTTGTTCTTTTTTTTCAAGCAATTTACAAATGGATTAACGAACAGCAGCAAATGCTGAAGAGGCCTTGTCTGGCATAGTTCCGAAATGTATCTCTCTATTAGCGCCTCCATTAGGATGCCATTCAAATAAATGCAAATCTCCGCCCATCCAAGCCTGCCACATGTGGAACAATGTCAATATGTATATCAAGTGGAGGGGGAGATGGGCTGGCACACATAGTGTGATGTCAGTCTGGTGTCTTCCTTTCATTGTTTGCCATAAAAATTGCAAGTGCCACTAAATTCAGCGCCAGTATTGGCCGGGAGGGGGACACAAGAGTGTACTGGGCAAAGGGTAAGCTTATGTGCTTGCCCCAAATACCATTTAGTGGAAGTGCACACTTCAATAATGGAAAGAGGGCAAACTGCAGTCAAGCAAGGAGCATGAACGATACCCAGCCCAGGCACGGAGCACAATGGCCCAGGCTCTGGGGTACTCAAGTCTCATCTTTGTCTATTCTTCAGCCGGGAGTAGCATAAAGGGCGCAGCCATCTGATTTAAAGGAGGAAACAGTGCTCTGAACTAAGGAACAAACGGTGCGACATTAATAAAGAATAAGTTTGTGGTAGAAAATTCCTCATAAATTGACAATGGGTTGAATATCCATTATATCGTACAAATAATATTAACGTTTATTTAGTAAGTATTAGTGAGTATTTTATAAACCCTCACCTTAGTAGCTAGTTATATAACGTCTCTACTAAAAAAGAGGGACAGACTTCCATGAATATTTGAAACAATTGTATTGTTCACAAACTAAAACTGAGGAAATGAAAACTCTCGGACAGTAACACTAATTGGAATATTTACCCCTGCCCCTTGCCCTCTGCCAACAACCCCAACAAATGTCGTGGCATGGCCATCCTCTAAAATAGTGCTAATACATGGCTAAGCTGCCGCCATCATGAAGAACTTTAAATGAGTTTAAAAGCAACTTTGTTTAGCCCGAGAGTAAGAGCGAAGGGCCGAAGCGTAACGAAATCAGCATGAAAGCAATTGTCCAAGTTATTCCAAAGTGCCCAGAGGCCAAAGGCAGTGGGGCACAGGGGACTCGGCCAGGCACTGAGGCCGAGTCGCAGACCGAGTCTGAACTGGTGTCCAGTTGGTTAGTTGCTGTCGCTCTCAACGCTGAAAGCGTTGGGATAGGGCGGGAAGGCCACTGTTTTTGAAACAAGTCACAAAGGAAGGAATTGCCGGCTGATGGCGAGCACTGGCTTGTGCAGCGACAGAGGAAGTGCTGGAGATGTTGTTTTCTTAGCTCTATGCTAAGAGTTGCAGCAGTTGGCAAACTTTTGGATTAGCTGACAGACGCAATACAAATTGGGAGTATTTTTTGACGATTAAACTACATTAATATGTCGACATTAATTAATATAACGATTAAAGTCAGCCATCAATTCTTTTTCTTGTCACTACAATCAGATGTACCCACTGAATCCATGCTAAAAAGTCTTAACTCACTTTACACATCCATCCAACTTGTGCATAAAATCCTGTACTCCTTGTTCCACTTTATGACTTCCACTTATAGCAGCCCCAAAACGCATTTGTCATGATTTCCACCTGTAAAGTACATTTGTTGAGCCACGAAATGCCAGAACAAGAGCACGGCTTACCTCACATGCGTGGATCATTATAAAGTTATACATTATGCTCAAGTGCAAGCCAAATAAAGTCCTGGACGGACTTAACAGCAGCGAGTGCGACCCCATTCAAATCGAAGGCAAAACGAAGTCGAGAGCAGCAGCCAAGCAGGCAGGCAGGCCGGGGCTTCGTTCTATCCACTGGCAGCATAGATTTATCAGGAGTCGCCTGTTGAAGCACCAGCATGCGGATCTCCAAGAAGTAGTAAAAGTTGAAGCAGAAGTGAATCCATTGAATGGCTTTGTAAGTTGTTGAGAAAACTGCAGCAAAAGGGGGAAAAAAATAGAATATAAGCAGAAGCAAATGCAATCTAAAGCGTCTGCACTTACCAGCAGGAGTTGGGCCGAGGAACCGAGGAGCCGAGGAGCACCGCAATGTGACCGGCGGCCGCAACTTGCCAGTTGGACCCATGGGGTGCGGTGCTCTTGGGGCGATTGTAAAGCGATTCCAAAATGTGTTGAACTCTTAAGTGATTGAATTGCTATCGGTGACATGAATTTGTTCGCTGATTTGAATGGAGCGATGCCGCTGGGAGCTGCGCATTGAGTCCGCACTGCAATTGAGATGATAGATAGGTTAATACAAGTGCACAAACAAGTCACACGTTATGAATCAGCTGGATGAGTCCACAACACAGTGTCGGTGCGTTGACAAAGCTCCTGCTGATCTCATCCTGCAGCGGTCGTTCCGTCAAAAGGTGCTGAAGGCGTTTAGAGTTCCTCTCTGCAAACAACATAAAAAATGGTAGAGAGCATAAAAACGCTAACAGCATTTCTCATCAATGCACTTACTTAGTGTTAAGTCACTCCGCTGGTGTGTGATGCTTCTGGTGCGGTGCTGTGCTGCGCTGTGCTGCAGTTTCAATCTGGTGTGACTAGGCCATATGGGTTTATGGCGGTCATGCCCGTGTGCTGCATTTCCTTTTTCCACAGCTTATGTGAACGTCCAACGACGACATTGAGCACTTCATAAATGTCGCTCTGAAAAGGAGAAGCCCTGGCATGTGTGTTCGTGGGTGTCGTATGCTTTGTTATATAGATTAAAGCTAAAATTATACAGCAATGTGAAGCAATGCTTTCCTCCTCCACCAAAAAAAAAAAGAGCTTCACATCAATTATTTGAATACAGATATATGTATTGTATGTAATCTCAAACACAATTGATACATTCTGGGATATGTAAATTAATTATGCTGGTAACGAGTATCAAACTCGGTTTAGAGGTCATCATTGGGCAGTACGGCGTCCTCGATCTTACGGATCTGAGCCCAGGTCAGCTCAGATACCTTGATCTTGTCATGATGAGCCGTGCAGTAAGGGCACTCGCGAAAGTCCATCAGGAAAGCCTCCTGTGGGCATATGTATATACATATGTATGATGTTAGACCATGACCATAACCATAACCATAACAGCAAAAAATTCTATGCCAAAACTTACCGCTGGATGCTTCTCGCATATGGCGGCAATGCGCCCATGGAAGTACTGGTGGCAGCGGCCACACTCGAGGGCCTTCGCTGGACGCTCGCATATGCATGTCTTAATAATGACTTTCTTCGATTGCACATCGGGCTCGATATTCTGCAAATTATTGTTAGGGTCCACGGACACATGCTTTTTGGCCTGCATGTTATTTTTCTTCGGACCAGAATGTTTTGGCGTCGGTTGAAGGAATGTCACGCCATGCGGCGACGATCCGTTCAAATTCCCATACAGCGAGTTCAGACGGGCGAAAATTGCTTTCATATCAGTTCCCTCTGATGCTGGGATTGTAAGAATTATTAGCCGCACTTATCACACTTGTGTTAATGCGAATCTTACCCATTTTTCTTATTATTTGATCGTGAATTTTTCACTTTAATTTCAAGTAACGGTAAGAGGTGTCAAACCATCGAACGCACTATCGATAGTATCGATGTTTTGCTGCTCTCTGCTATTAGCGACGGTTTTGCGACTATCATAATAGTTTCGAGCTACAGTTGTTGCGCTTTTGATGTGTTTGGATTGGCTGCTCTAAAATACGAAGACATTTGTAAACAAATCGACAGGTGGCATCTAATTTTTACAATGGATAAGTTCCTAAAAGGTTTCAATGGTTTTTTAATAATTATTTGAGCTCGGTACTATTACGATAGTATAGATTGTTTTTTTTTCAATCGTTTGACAACTCTAGTTTTCGAAGGACAGACAGGCCCACAGAAATATACCCAAATATACCATGCCATTATCAAAATATACCGTAAATATACTGACGGACACGACAAGACGTTGATATTCCTCGATTATGATATTCCGTTTAATATTACTAGCTAGTTGGCTCTCTCAGCCCTAAACAAATAGTTTGATCCCATTCCTCAATAAATTTTGTTCAGGATTGGCTAGTTTTCAGAACTCTTTTTTATTTGATTGTTTACATAAAAAGGTTTAAACCAAAACGGCCAAAGCATAAAACGTAAATTTTGACTAACTGTGACGTCATTGTTGCTGTTCAACTAAGTTTCTTCTATGCGTATGGGCTTGTGTATACCGTATTTCCTTTAAATGATGTTAAATTTGTTGTTCCAAGCTCCATTAAAACATTAATAATGATTTGATCCTAGATTGACATGTTTTTTACCTATTAATGCATATGTTTTGTGTTTTATAAATACATTTATCCCGGTTCTGGTACCTATTATTGGTCACCCCGGCGATGGAAAATTTCGTTAAGTATCTTTAAAGCAGAGATTGAGTGTTTCAGCCGGGGCCAGATCATTGCTGCTGCGTGCGTGGCAGCCAGAGCCACTAACACCGGCAGATGAGTTGACGACAGGCCGATTAACACCATCGCCGACCATTTCATCCAAAGGGAGCAGAAGCTCACCCTCAAGGAATGTCGTGTTTTTGAGAGTCAGCTTCTGAACCTATTTCCCGGAGAAGAGGAATCAGATTACAGGACTGATCGGCGAGGAAAAATATATATTCGCTATAAAAATTAGTGCACCGCGGCAGCGTTTAAAAAAAATGTAAACAGGAAGCTGTTCCCAGGCTCCCCAACCACACCTGTGTCGCCAATGTCTGTGACTCGAATTTGGTCGCAGGGGCTCCCTGAAATCTTTGACGAGATCGATAAAGACGAATACAAAAATAAATATATTTAAAAACAATAGATAACCGATTTCTTTACTTAAATTGTATTTAGCATATGTCGCCCAAGAACAACCACGATCCCACAATGTCCAGCGACTCGGGGCAATGCAAATCATTGATAACGAGATCCGCCGACAGCTCGCGGAGCAGAAGGACAAATCTGGTGATCAGGAGAATGCCGATGATGACAGTTTGTGTTTTTTTTGTTTGTTTTGTGTACTTATTAAAAACTCAAACTTGAAATTGAACTCGCCGTTGAATAAGAAGTTATGTGGATATTTTGTGGCTACTTTTTTAAAATTATCTTTAATTTGAGGTCGAAACCGCTGCTCCTCCGACTTAAGCAGCCCCTGGAACCCGATCGGTCGGATAGACTAACAGAAAAAAACAGTCGACATTAGTTTTTTTCTGTATACAATATTTTAGATGGGCAGTTTTTTTTGTTTGTTATTATTTGATTTAGTGTGATATCAGAGGAGTTTACGCGTCAGATACAGCTGCTCCACCTCTTATAGTCTTTGAGAACCAGGCTTCACATAAGACGGAAAAAAGATGGACTCGATTCCTTTTGTCCGTTAACATTTTAATTTTTTATATTATATATTACCGAATTTTAATCTAAGTAAACAAAAGGGTGGAGCACAGGCCTAGCTCCTGCGAGCTTTCTTGCGATTTCCGGGGGGGCCGTGGGGTTTTTTTTTTGGGGGAAATTCCCGGAAGGGGGGCTGAATGGGCCTCATAGTCTTCCTCTTCAATATTATCACAATCAACTTCGCCAACGTCCGCTGAAGGCACATCTGCAACTTTGGGAGATTGTTCAGTTAACTCCAACGTCTCCTCGTCAAAGTCAATAGCATCGTCATCGTCGCACAGATTTACGAGCTGCCACGTTCTTTGGGGTACTCCTTGGTGACGAACAACTCAATGTAATCATTGAGATCCGGAGGGCTGATCATACGCTTCAGACTGTCTGCGAATAATTGTGGCTGCTTGTGTTGCGGCTGGAAAATGCCGGGACTGAGAAGACGGATTCTCAAATTGGTGATCACGCCGTTCTGGGGAATACTCTTCATGAGCTGCCGACTCGCAACATCCCGAACGCAGACTTGCTTATCCTCACCGCCAAAAGGCCTGAGTCTCGTCCTCCTCCAGGTGGTATTCCTGTAAACAACCATGATTAACCATGTCATTTTTATTGGAGTCACTCACCTTCATCCGTGGCGCTCGCCAATTGTGAAACACAAACGCCTTGCCTTCGGCGGAGCCAACATAAATGCTAGTCTCCATCCTATTGACAACCACGCTGTGCAGTGCTACTGGGAACACAATGCTGAGGAGCATGATGCCACCGCTCAAGTCATATACGTTGCAGCAGCGGTCTAGGGACACTGTGTATAGGTAGGAGCCTCACTGCCCTCCTGGCTGCCATTGTCCAGCGGTGCAACTGAGAAGGTGAGATCCAGAGAGGGTGCTCAGCATGCGGCCAGTGTTCATGTGCCAGATATACCAGGTACGCGCCATCTGGAGAAAGGGCCAGACGTGGAGCAGAGGCTTCATTGTGTTGGCTGCCAGAATATAATTCAGCCCAATCATAGCCAGACTGTGGCGTTGGGCATTTCCTCCGCCCCTCCGCCCTCACTCTATCAAAGAAAAAATAATGAAATTATCAATGAAATAATGAAACGCAGTTATCGTTATCAATGAAAATAATGAAATTATCAATGAAATAATGAAACGAGTTATCGGTATCAATGAAACTATCAATGAAACGATAGTATCGATTGTTTTTTTTTTCAAAGCATTCAACGTTGATATTCCTCGATTTTGATATTCCGTTTAATATTACTAGCTAGTTGGCCCTCTCAGCCCTACAAAAATAATTTTATCCGATAGATACATAAACTTTCTACAAGATTGGCAAGTTTTCAGAAGTCCTTTTTATTGCATTGTTTACATAAAAAGGTTCAAACAAAAACAACATAAAATGACGTCGTTTTGTGGCGTTGCCAGACTCGTGCAATTCGTAGTTGCTGCGGGCTGCCACACCATGATATTTTGTTATTCGCTTTGAATTGATCTGGCAGCCTTAAAACCATAAATCCGCAAAAAAAGAAGAAACATTTTACAGCCCTGCAAGTTCGCGAGCACGGACAACAACCAAAATGCCCATTTATTCGGACGAACAGTGCTGTGTAATTTCGCATTTAGCAATAGCCACCCGTTTCAGACTATAGTCATCCCTTTCACACCCGCACTGCAGACGTATGGGCAAAACATGCACCGGCAGCGAGCGAGCCCGCGCATTAAATCCACAATAGGGCGCTCCACCTTCAACCGGCTCGTTGGTCTAGAGGTATGATTCTCGCTTCGGGTGCGAGAGGTCCCGGGTTCAATTCCCGGACGAGCCCAAGATGGACATAAATTAAATTTTTTTTTTCGGTTCGTTGGTTTTTGCCTATCAGTTTTTTTCGTTGTGTGTATGTTTTTTTGATCGCGGTGCAAGATCTGTTTCCCAAAAAATCAAACATGCTGCTACTTGAACCGGAGGGGATGGGGGGGGAATCTCTGCCTCGATGTCTGTTTGTTTGTATGTACAATGTACATAAGCAAAATGTTGTTTAGCATTTGTTTAGTTTTTAGTATTATGGATTTTGAAATACTTAGAACAATAAGGGTATTGCCAGGATTGATTCAGATTACACAATAAAGAGTTTTGGGCGCTCAAGGGTTTTGTTTTTTCCCCTCCTGTTTTGTTCAATCCGCGGTCTTACTTTTAAGTGGATTTCCTTTTTTCGTTAAATTATTTCTTAAATTGTAAACGCTGCCGCGGCCTTGTCTGTTCTCTGTTTTGTTTGTATTCGTTATGCTAATTGTATGTGCCTATGGGTGTGGTGTGTGTGCTGTGTGTTCTGTGTGCGTGTGTCTCGGGTTATGCCGGATGCCATCTTTACTCGTATTCCAGCACGTTTTTATGGTAGAACAATAAATAGCTGCAAGAGAGAGAGAAAATGTGAAAATGACAAATTTTGCATAATTACACCCCTGTACTTCCACTCACCCCTCGCTGTCCAGCACCTGCTTGAGCGATGCCATAGTTATCACATGATCATCGCACTTCACCCACGTGTCCTTCTGATGGCGCACATACGCCGTGTAGTGGCCGGTGTCGATGGTGCCCACGTGATTGACCACCGCGTACAGAGAGAATCGAAAATCGCCGTAGGCATTCTTCTTCTCGGACATGAAGGGCGTCATATCGAACTCGACGGGGAACTGGATGAACGATGAGATCTTGCGATCGATCAGCGCCGAATGTTCGAAGCGCTTCAGGTGAAAGGAGACCACGCTGGGCAGAGTCCGCAGGCTGAATTGCTTGGTGGACTCCTGGTAGGACTTGCAGGTGGAGCATTTTATCTTGGCCGCGGAGCCTAGGTGCTCGGCCCGCGTGTACCGCTCCAGGCAGTCGATCAGCGTCTTGGGCGTTACGCCGCCGTGCGTCGTCGTCTCGCCCAGGTCCAGCGAAATGTCCCAGAACGGATCGAATGTGGTGGACACGCCCTTGCAGGCCTGGCATACCACATCGCTCTGCAGCATGCCCGTGAAGATCTGATCGATGATGCAGTTGCACTGTCCGTAGCTGGAAGTCGTGGAGCTGGTGGAATTGGTGCCGCTACCCGAGCTGGAGTTGTTGCTCTTGCTCTCGTGCTCCGCCTTGGCCTTGACGCAATGCCGATGCAGCACATCCAGCGTGGCAATGAAGAACTCGTGCGCATCCTGCTGCTCGTACCCAGCCAGGTGCTTGGCATGATTCCAGATTAAATGCAATAGGCGATGCAGCGACAGCGGTGAACGGGAGCCCGAATAGAACTCCTAGGGAACAAACGAGTCGGGGATATTAGTGGAAAGTGGCAAGTGGCAGGTTGTGCATCACCTGGAAGAGACGCGACACTTCGCAGACCAGACACTTGTGCGAGGACTTGCCGCAGTCATGCCGGTCCGACATAAAGTAGTCGCTCAGCAGTGGAGTGTGTACCAGGGCCTGGGGGGATGACAATGGGTGATGGAGGGAGGGCAAATCTTGCCTGGCAATCACCACTCACCTGGACAATGCAGTTCATGAAGCAGGTGGCCCCCAGATTGAGCAGACCCCTTAGTCCGATCGTCTGATTGGGCCGCACCAACCGGCGTCGTGGATTCGCAAGCAGCAGGTTCGTCTCCTTGGCCGAGGGTATCCAGGGCTGCCAGCCCAGGCTCTTTTGCAGATCCTTGGCCTCCAGCTTCCGGTTGATCAGCGCATACTCCCGACTGCGCGAGTCGTAGATAAAGTCCCGACACGCATGGCAGTAGAGCGTTCCGTGGGACAGCTCCAGGGCCACATGGTGTTTCTTGGCCCGCAGATGGCTGTGGATGTGTGAGCCGCGGCAGCCGAAGTAGATGCAGTGCAGGCAGGCGTACAGCTGGATGCTGGCGCTGCCGCACTCGAAGCAGTAGCAGTGTATGGCCTAGCGGGGGAACAAAAAAGGGTTACAAATGTCAGTCGATGTGCGCTTAGGGCTGGCCAAGATTTTCAGAAGTAACGGCTGGCAGTGTTTAAAAACACACCAAGAATTGGTTTGGTAATCACTTCACGGCCCTTCTTCTTCCCTCCGCCGCATCTGTATGGATTGTGTCAGTGAACCCCCGCACATAACCGTAACTCTCTCTCTCTCTCTCTGTCTCTCTTTTACCCTCACCTTCTTCAAGCGCGCATCTTTGTTCACGCAGGCAGAAAAGTACGCATCGATGACCCGATATGTATCATAGCCGTGCTCCTTCAAGTAGCTCTGATAATGTCGGCAGCCCGTCTCCGACATGACACCGCTCGCCTCCCTCTCCCTGCCGGCGACGATGCTCTTGGCGTCAACGCTGACGTCAAGTTCAATAGCAAGCTTCTGCACCGTGCGCAAACAGGCCGACAAATGCGTCGCATTCAGTGGGCCCTTTGTTAGCTTTGACCCGCTGTCGCTGTCGATGTCTTCCTCCTCTTTCCCACCCTCAACACCTCCGCCACGCCCACTACTAGCAACAGTTTCGATTTCCTCTGTCGCCACACACCGGCCGGCAGCTGACTCTGCAGATGCCTTTGTTGTTGTTGTTGTTGTTGTTGCTGCTGCTGCTGCCGCTGTTTCGTTTTCGGCCGTTCCCCGGCCCGCCCCCGCCCCTAGGTAGAATCGTTTGTTGTTGCTGCTGCTGCTGCTGTTTAGGCCGCCGACGCTACCGCTGTGGGTGCTGCTGCTGCTGCTACTTATTACGCTTGTAGTACTATCAACACTATTCTCTTTTGTTTTCGTTCGTTTGGAGCACGGCTGCGGCACGAATGCTTTGTCACACTTTCGCTGTTTTCGCCGAATTTTGGCCACTTTTGCTATGAGCACACACACACAGGTGCTGTAAAATAGGAACTCTGTTTCACAAAACTTCGCCGTTTGTTTAATTTTAATTTTTTGATTTTTTTTCGCTTAGTTTCTGTTTCTGCAGCAAAAACACACACGCGCGCACATATCCAAACACACACACACGGGCAGACGCGTATGTGTACGCGAAAAACGGACAGCTGAATCGACACTCTTGCAAAACAGGGTTGCTGTGACAGCTGACATGCTATCGATTGAATGGCGCGCAGTACGAAAATACCAAAAGTGTTTGAAAAGCACAGACGCGCAGAAATATATTCGACATAAATAGATAAAAGATAATCAAACATATAAAAGAATTTAGAATCTGTTGATTCTTTTTGGAAATGTATACATTTTTATTTCCACATTCAAACAGCAACGTATTCGATAAGTCGCTAGTGACGTTTGCCAACACTGATGCATTTGAAAATACTGACATCTGCCTGCAGTCGAAGCAGGCGCATTTTTGGCCATCAATTCTAACAAAAAATTAACTAAATTGTGCTCTAAAAAATATGTACACAGATGAGGTGCGAACACCTCAGGCCCTCAAGAGTCGATACTTCTCCAATCTCAGTGAGCTGAAATGCCGAGTGCGCAGGAACAGCGCCACGGGCAACAATTCCGTGGCGTCTGCCGCAACGCCAACTAATGGCGGCAAGCAAAATACGAGATGTAGTCCCCAAATGTCCTCGCTGGTGTGTACGCCACCGCCCAAGCGATTGCACAAGATTCGGAATCCCTTCGAGGGCGCCCTGGCGGATCGTTTGCACCTGCCTCTGATTGCCAGGTGAGTGTCTGCATCCTTCATCCTGCCCCCCGCCACGCCTTCATAGAAATGTTCTATTGTCTGTTGCAGTCCTTCGCTATTCCGGTCACGCACACCCCAGCTCTCGTCCACGCAGTTTGAGTGGAACATCGACGAGGTGTCGCAGCTGAAGCCCGCCGATATGGAGCCTCACGAAACGCAATTCCACGACTCGCCCGACCCTGAGGTGGAGAGCAAGGCCCAGCTGGCGATCAGTGCCTTCTTCAAGGAATCTATCATAGTGCCCAGCCCCGTGGACTGTCCCCTGCGCAAGAATCGCATCATACTCAACGAACTCAACGAGGACAATACGCCTATCTCGAAAAAGTCATCGAGCGGCCGACGACGGCGGGACTGCAGTGTCCAGACCGAGCTGACACTGCCCCCCATCCTGCCCAAGGCGGTGGAGGAGGCACTGCGCCCCTACCTTCAGCCCCATCTGGCTGGCAGCATGTCGGGTCGAGCCAAGACCCGCTCCAGCGGTAGCGACATCTTCAACAGCTCCATGCGGCGCAAGCTGTTCGATCTGCACAATGTGATTGTGCTGGGCGAACAGGAGGCGGCGCAGTCGCCCCAAATGGTGGGCTCCAGTCCGCAGGGCAAGCAGACAATGTTTGCTGGCAGACTCTCGGACTCGGCGTCGGGCGAGGGCAGCTTTGGGTCCCTGTCGCCCATCAGGAACCTTTGCGGCCTGCCCACAGGTACACCAGACGACGGTAATCGCTCCTCCAAGCGGAAGCTGCTGCTGATGCACGACGTGGAGCTGCCCTCGCCAATAGCTCCGTCCGAGCATCTCAGCCGTCGGCTGGTGCAGTCCAAGGTGGAGGTCAGCATCAGCACCAGCATCAGTGAGCAGCACGATACGTTGTCCGAGCTGACGGGAACGGGGCGACCAGCCTGCAGATTCACCCCGGATCGCAGCTCCTCGCCGATGCAGGCACTGGAGCAGTCGGACTGCAGCATCAACCAGCGGGTGAGCCGACTGAGGGTGAACAGCACGAGGCAGTTGCCCAGCCAGTCGCTCCTGGAGGCTGTGGACCTGGCTCTGTTCGAGGAGGCAGAAGCGGAGGACACAGACGAGCCCGAGGCTGAAGCAGAGTCGGACGAAGAGGAGGAGGAGGAGGCCGAGGCCATGCAGCTGTCCACGCTCAGCTTCAACTGCAGCTCCTCCAACTCGGACACACCGCGTGGATCCCGCCGCCGCCGCTCGGCCAATCGTAAAAATCTCTCGCAATCCTTTAGTGCCAATTTGGATGATGTCGAGGGCCAGCCGGTGGAGCAGACGGCTCCGGTTGTGGCTAATCCACCGGCGCAGCGCATTGGCCTCTATCGGGCGGACAGTGGCTTCAACGAGACGTCGAGCACCTCGACCTTTGCCTGCTCCCAGGACATCTCTATGGCCTGCTGCTCGACACCCTCCACGCGCTCCTGACACCACCATATATATCTGGCTGTACAAATTTCAGCAGCAGTTGGAACTATTTTAAATGCAATAACTCATCTTTCCAGGCTAGAGAGGAAGACTCGCTTAACTGCAATGTAACCAACCCACCGATCCTAGGGCCTTATCTTTAATTTGTGTGTTTATTTTTATAATTTTCGAAGTTATCACTTGTTTATGTACCCCAACACATATGTAATTGCCAAATAGTTTAGTGAGTTGTGTATTTTCGTCATTTATAGAGTTAATTCATTGTGTCATTTCGTAGTTTATTATAGAAATAAATAAAATAAAATATTTGCTCTTGGAGTTAAACAGAAGGTAGGGTATTAGGACAACGAGGTGGCGCTCGGCAGGGTGCGATCATTAACGCTACTGCTCTTAGCTGAAACGCAGAAATGAGTCGGGAGAGCGTAAATTGTTCACTTTCGATGGTAAAAAGCGTATGGTATATGTGGCAACGGGGTGGATTTTACCTTGGGCCTTGTAATTTTTTTATCGGTCTTTGCCCGTTGTCCATACCCTATTGTTTTCTCTATAATTTCCCACCTGTGGGTAGGGAGGGGGAATCTTGAAAACGCGCGCGGGTTTGTTTAATGAAAACTTGTTGCTCGCGCGGTTTGAACAGCACAAATTTATGGTACGCATGCGAAACCAAAGTTATTTGTACGATCAGCAAACAATACAAAGATTTCTGCACTAATTTTCACCTGAGCGCAGCCAGTGCAGTGGGTGTTTGTGTGTGAGTGTGTGTGTAGGTGCTTGCGTGTGTGTGTGGTGGTAGTGGTGTGCGTGTGTTCTGTTATAAATAGCAAAAGAGAAGAGGAAACGAAAAAAAAAAAAAAAAGAAGATCGTTTTTGGGGCCGTAAATAAACGCCAAAAGAAAGTGCGGAGAAAAATAAAATTTGTTTGTGGGCCAAGTAAATAAATTAGAACAACTCGTAAATAAGTCAGGTGCAGGAGAATTCCAATAAAATTAAAGGCGGAAATGTGCAAATTAATGAAAATTCAACACGGCCATGTTCCCCCTCTCCCTCTGCAGCTCCCTGTCACTGTCACTGTCCCTCTTTAGCCACCTACAATCCCTCTGCTACGCCAAAATTCCTGTTACAAGAAACCAGTTAGGCGGCATCATCGCGCCCGACAGAGTGTCGCCCCTCATTCCCCCCTGCAACTAGCATTTCTTATTGGCCGAGCAACTGGGCGGCTGCATCCGTTTTTGAGCGAAAGTTTTTTTACGGCCGGGTGTCCGTGTCCACTGTGCAAAATGTGTGTTCAAGTCGGGCCAGCTGTTCCATCGTCTACCGTCGGAAGAAGCGAAAGAAAGAGAAAAATCTGGCCAATTAATTTGTGCTCTACTATCTACTATCTGTGCTGTGAAGAAAGTGTGTGCCAAGTCAATGTCTATAATAAATACAATTTTTTACAATTTGCAGTTGTGTTTTTTGTGTGATTTGATTCAATTTGATTGAAGGCATCCCACTTGCCACTTGTGCTGCAACAAAAAAAGGCAAAGCAAACGGAATAAATGCAACAAAAAAACGGAGGAGATTGCAATTGGAACTGAATGGCAGTTGTCGGCCTTCCGTCTTCTCCTTCATCTTCGTTCATTTTGAAGGTAAGCTGCTCTCAAACGTTGAGCAGGGGAGGGTAGGACATTTGGTAAATTTTTTGTTTACATTCGGGAATTACATACATATGCATGTATGCATATACTATGCAGGCTGTGCCAAGTCAATGTAGTGATGAAAGCAGCTAGTCAAGAAGGATGTGGTATATTTTGACTAACATTAAAGGAGCAAACAATTTCCAAAGTAAATATATGCTCAGTGCTCGGAATATTCGAGAGAACAACTTAATTAGATAAGGTTCTCTCTCCAATGACTTTTGTCAGGCTCCAGAAATAAACAATTGAAGCGATCTTTCATTGTCGTTCTCTGCAGGGAATATAAAAGACGGCAGGCACTCGAATTTTTGATGATTTTGCATGTGTGGGGCCGGGGGTTATTTGCTATCAAGAAAACAAAATAGAGACGTGAATAGAGACGTGTGATAAAAGCAATGCTTCCATTTTTCACAGGGCAAATGTTTTGTTGCTGCATTGGGCAATTTTTCTTGGCTGTTTCATGGTCTATACTATCTGGAAGGCTATAGAAGTCTGGGTTATGTACAGACATATATGTATTTCCATCATTATAACGTGTGTGTATTACAGCCATCATGCAAGTAACGGGTTGGTCCAAGGAACAGTGTGAAGAGAGCCGTTATATGTTATTAAACCCGTGGTCTCGTCTGCCTCCGTCTGCTTTTGTCACATGTCATATGCGGCTTCTCTTCTCTTCTGTCTTGCACCCCTCTCTTTCCCGCACATGTTCCATGGCTTATCTAAACCCTTGTTGTTGGGTTTTTTTTTCTTTTTTGTTATATAGCCGGTTCTGCGGCTTTTGTATAACTTCCGCTACTATTATTATTATTTTTTATTTTTTCACTGAAAAAAAGTGTAATTAAACAGAGGCGGACAGCGCAGACAAAGAGTACGGCACAAATAACCCTCTGCAACAGCAACTGCAGCAGCAGCAACAGCAGCGACAACCAGCCAACAGCCTCTCATGGGAGTTGACTCTCGAAAACCGGTTACAAATCATTAAACTAAAGATTCTAAAGCATGTTATACCCTATACAAGTACCTATGCAGCTCCCCCACTCTATCTCTCTCCCCTTCTCTAAACATCCCCCCCTCTTCATATCTATTGCATGCCTCACTGCACAGGCTGCCGTGTTGCAAGTGCAACTTGTTGCTGCCGCTGTTTGCTGCATGTTGCCGCTGCTGCTGCACTTTCATTGGAAAGAGGATAGGCAAACTTCAAGCATATGAATAGTGGGAAAGAGTAAAGAGAGGGTCTCCAGATATTCACAAATCTCTTAATAGAAGCCAAAAATAATTGAATCTAATCATCATATGAATAATTTCCATTCGTATTAAGTATTTGCCCACAACATCGCTTAAATGAATCATAATTATATTTGTAGCTCATTTATCTGTAGTCCCTTGTATTACACATAGAAATCTTAGTTCCGCCACAGCCCTAGCTTTTGTATACTTTCTAAATAATTATAGAGCATCTTTACGTCGTTCTGCACATGGCGTTTACTTCTCTTTCTTGTTTTTCCTGTTTCGCTCGCACCCAAACAAACATCAATTTTCCTAATATTCAAAATCGAAAGAGGAAACGAGACAGAGGAACGGAACGGAACCCGTTTGCTGGCATCCTTGTGACACACTGACATCTTTTGCGGTTCATTTGCTCTCTCCCTCCCGCTGTCGCTCACTCACTCCAGCTCTCACTTTAGTTAATTAATTTTGCTTTCGGTTGGTTTTCCCCCCACCTCTCTACAATGCTGTGTTTGCTCCGTCATTTGCATTGATTTGCAAATTTTTTATTGGCCCATTCCGATTCGATTCGAGCCTGACGTAATTTGTTCAACTTTGTTATTTACCTGACAAGCGAGAGAGAGAGAGAGAGCGAATGAGCAATAACTAACTAATCAGCGACGGCCTTTTGGGTTGACATTAATTTATGAAGTGAGCGGCGGGGTTAATGAGAGGGGATTTATTGGTCAAGGACTTTTTTCTCGCTCTCTCTTTGGTTTTTGGGAATTTATTTTGTGGTCCAGTCCCTTTCTTGAGACATCTGTTGGGGAAAATACTTGATATTTTGTTTGAAATTCAACGCCTGGCTGGGTAATTTGACATTGAGGAAGTCTCTTTCTGCCTCCGCCTCCGCCTTTGCCACTCTGCCCCACTCCTTGACTCTATAAACACAGCTGTTCAATTTGTGTGCACAACGAGACTGCAGCTGTGCTGGTACCAGAAACCCAGTAACTAAAACCAGACCTGACCAGAACCAACCAGACAGACCCAAGTGGGAGACCCTTGGGTTTGTCTGCCTTAATACCCTTTCAGAGGGAACATGGGTTGTGATGTGTCTCAGCAGAATTTTGGCCACGCAGAGGCGAAAGTATATCTGAATCATAAGTCTCTGGTGGCAAAAAAACTCTTTAAATTTTTAAAGGGCATTCCAATGCTCGACTTCTCCTCAGATTGAGTTTGCTTATTAACCCGTTATGTACCTTATTTCACTCCCACTGCAGCCCCAGGCTTTGCTGCTGCTGCAAACTTGTTAATGGCGCACTTTGCATTCTATTGCAAGTTCTTCCCCGTTTAACGGTACCATTTCTACAAAGATGAAGATGATGAAAACTGACTCAAAAGTCAGTTAACTAATTCAATTAGTGCCGTGTGAATTGGCTTGGCCAAATGCAAAGGAGACTACGAAAGAGAACAAGAGAGAGAGATGGTGGGAGAGAAGCGTAGAGGAATAACTGGACACAAAAGACGTTTGTCAGTCTGCTCTCTCTTTCTCTCCCTCTCCATTGTGCATTCTTGAGAGATGATGATGATTGCCCCACAGGGAAAATGAGGGTGAATTCTGAAAGCAACAGGAATTCATATCGCATACAAATTTGAACAATTCTCGGAATAGTACTCTAAAGAATACATTTTGATTAGATAAGGTTTCCTATCCGCCCATAGGCGCTATTGTTGGGGGAATATTCTATGCACACAATTGAAATGATCTTTTATATTGTTAGGAATCGCTGAACTCTGAAGCAATAGATGGTTTTAATTTATCTTAAAATTCTGTCGATACTCGGAAAAAAGGGTTTTTAATATCGCTCAAAATGTTGTATTTTTTTTCAAACTCTAAAAGTATTGTCTCTTGTCTCTGCAAATGCTTAAATACAGAATGAACTTTATGTTGTAGATATTAAATAAAAGCCACAGATTGTTTGCCAATTGAAATTCATTCCAGCGACATGCAAAACTCACTCCATCGCCTCCTCTGGGTTAAGCTTCCAGCAAATTACTGTTATCAAAATTAAACATCTCTGCTGACCTTCTTCCAAACTTTTGTCCCCCCTCTCTGTGGCCTCTAATTTAGCCATATCAATTTTCTATGCGAATTAGCCGGCCAGCCTCACACAAAAAAAAAATGGACTTGTTCTGGTCTCGTGGCCGGGCCTGGCTCGAAAGCGGGGCTACCGAAAAGAGTACAACTTCTGAACCAGTTTCCATTTGGGCATATTTTCGTCTCTGTCTCGCTTTTGGCTTTGTTGTCCCTCTCTCTCGCTCTGCTTGTCATCTCCCTTGGTCTGTTTACTGTCTCTCTGTTCTCCATGTATTTCTATCTATTTATTTTATACCCTGTAGTTATAAGGTATAAGGGTATATGGGGAGGATCAGGCATTAGAGGGAAGCGCGTTCCACGTAGGATCTCAGGATTTCTCTGGGTAAGAGATCTACAAATCTATAAAATCAGACGCTAAAGAAATTTAAGAATTAATTAAAGGGTATCGCAGAGTATTTGACCCTCTTCCCTAGCTGTTTCTCTGTCTTGTTTTGCCTGCGAGTTTTGCAGCGCCCGAAAATTGCCCAACAGCCCAGAACAACAATTGACAAAAACTTTTATAGTTTGAAATTTGTACGGGCGGGCGGGTGTCAAACGTTGTTTTTGGGGCAAAAGTCCCACGCCCACGCCACCGAAATTCATACCGCATTTCCCACCCGCCTTCGCATCTGCCACGCCCATAAACAGACTTGACAAACAATTGTGCTTTTGTTTACTAATTTGTGTGGCTTTAACTTGGCTTTGTTTTGCTTTAGTTTTTGTTTGACTTTTGTTTTATTGACTTTCTTTGGCTTGGTTTAGTTTTTTTGGCTTCTTCTCCTTTTCTTTGGTTTCTTGTTTTTATTTTTAGGGTTTTGTTTTGTTTTTTTTTGGCGAGTTGAAAGTTCATTTTCCGTTTTAATTGCCGGCTAATAACTCGAAAGCTCCCGAAAGTTGTTCGTATTGTTGTTGTTTTATTGCCTCTCCCCCCCTCCCACTCTGTTTGCTGTTGCTGTTTCTGTCTTTTTTATACCCGTACTAAAAAAGATAAGGGTATATTAGATTGTGTAAAAGTGGAGTGTTAACGCAGAGAGGAAACGTTTCGACCCCATAAAGTATATATATTCTTGATCAGCATCATAGCCGAGCGATGGCCATGTCTGTCTGTCCGTCTGTCCGTCTGCTGTCTGTCCGTCTGTCTGTCTGTCCGCTTGTTGGCGCCTGTGCTTAGGCTAGGGCAACCAAATTTGGTTTCCACACTCATGTGATATCACACTGCTCAAGGTATCAATTCGCCCCGCCCCCTCCGCCCCCACAAGGACGAAAGGGCAGGCACATTTGTGATCGTAAACTAACGCATTATGTAGGTGCCCATACTACAGCTGCCGACTGAATCGACGGCATAATTTAGCCAGAATGGAAATTTTCAGTTGCTTCCCCCCCCCTCCCGCCCACGACAACGCAACTCATTTTCCTTCTCGCCGCACACTCTGCCGCGTTCAGTGCGCGGCAACCCCTAGCGGGGGATGTAGAATTGAATGGAACAGTCAACACATGTTAGATGTAGAATGACATTGTATTGTAGTGTGATAGCAGATGTGCAAAAAATGTAAACTAAAATTCTAAAAAACATAAGCTGTATATACTGACTGGTACGGGTTAGTGAGTC